GTAGGCTGCAAGAGGTAGCTCGTAGCTATTGAGTAGGACGCTACTGGATAGGACACAGGATAGCTCACGCACTGTTCATTTGGCCTAGATATTGATGGAACAAAACATCTCAGCACTGCACCATGTGAGTGAAGAGTGTCCTTAGAACTCCAAAATATCTGGCTGCTGAATAGACACAAATGTAATTACTACTGATTGGTATGGAACAGCAAGTATGTTGTTTGCATATTCAGCTTAGATACATAAAACTTCTTCAGGATGGGAGTAAAATGCCTCAGACAATGACAAGCTGCACTGCAACATCTGCGTGGCATCAAAATGCATCCCAGAATGAAACTGTTAGTCAAACTGAAATGAATAACTTGGCCCCACGCTTGCAGGGTGGACACCAGTGAGCAGAGAAATAGAACGCAATGACATCTGCGCTGGTTAGCTGTTGCCTGAAAAGACCCATTTGCAGCCTTCTTTCTCTCATGTTGATTAGAATACCAAAAGTAATCTTGAACTTGAACAGCCAAATGTTCACTTTTCGTGAAGGCTAAAGACTGAACGAATGATTTTACACTCCCATAGAGAGCGATAGAGAGAGAGAGAGAGAGCTAATTGACAGGTTGCTGCCTTGCCTTCGACTAGCCCCTTTCAATGAAGTTCAAAACGCTCTGTTTCAGAAGTGCAAAAGCAATCAACTATTTGGAGGCCATTGCTCTTAGGTTGGAGGCCATCGCTAGTAGGATAGGTTCCCGCTCTCCGCATGTTCATCGTTGCAAATCTGGGCTCAGCAACGTATCAAACTCTTTGCCGCTGCGATCCAACAATTGCAAGCCATAGCTCTGCACAAAAGCCGCCATGAAAAAGCTTCAGCAGGCTGTTGGTTGTGGATCTGAGAGGCTCAAGAGTCATACAAAATGACTTGGTCCAAAGGTGTTGGAAGAAAAGAATTGGTTTTGAATTCAGAGAGCCCTTAATAAGGCCCCCCTTTCGAAGCACCGTGTTAAAGAGGCCCTTACCTTCTATTCCCCTTCGGGTCAGCCATTTCATCGTAAGAAACCCTTTGTGCCGTCTGTGACATGATGGCCACCGCAAACACAAACCAAACAGCAATCATCCCAGGGGTGCGATTGCTCTGTGTCTCGGGTGCTCTGCTATGCTTCTATCTGGTGCTATACCAGGCCAGGGGTAGCGATGCCAGGAGCCCCTAATAGCTTCTTTGCTCCTAGCAGCGATGCCCTTTGCTCCTAGTAGCGTCCGTCCTTGCTCCTAGTAGTACGGCCAGGAGCCCCTAGTAGCGTTCTTGTTCCTAGTAGCGATGCCCTTTGCTCCTAGTAGCTTCTTGTAATTATCTATCTTTTCATGGTTTCATCTTTCACTGGTCTCTGGTTTCGACTCTACGCCCAAGAGCAGCTTGGGAATCAAAATCCATGAAGACTTGAGTGCTCAAATGAAATCTGCTGAAAGCTACAAGATGCTACAAGTATGAGAGCCATGAAAGGAGCCTGGACCCTTTTGCATAAGCCCACCTTGTGTCTCTGGAACTGGCTTTGCCGCCCCAGTCTTACTCAACGTGGGCCAAAGCTTCTTGGCTCTTATGGCGCATCAAACTCACTGAGGGCTTCATTCAATTTCTGCGTAATGAGCCTAAAATCTGGATCTGTATCAAGGAGATCGCTCCAGCAAGCGACCGCGCGGTCAAGATCAACCTTTCTCATGTGAAACCGATCTTCGATTTTGACAAGAACTGCAATTCCTGTTACCACTCTTGCAGTAGCAAAGTCATAGAAAACTCCTGGTGCTGCTTTAAACTGTTCGACAAATTTCTCCACTTCCTCAAGCATGAAGCGATGAACTGCGATGACCTTGTCACAGTCCATTTCGGCATCATCGGCATCAGGTGCTTCGTCATCACTATCGTGATGGTGATATTTGTGCGAAGGAGCTAGCTTCGAAACCAGTTCTTTCACTTCAGGATCATTACCAAATTTAGCAATGATGCTTTCAAGCTCATCCTCAGAAAGTGAGCTTCTGCATGTGAAATCTGCAGAATCCAGCATGTGAATCATCTTGTAAGCCTGATGGAAATCCAAATCGGTGGCCGGTAGATTCTGACCACCTACGTTCTCTCGAACATGTGTGTAAAGCTTCTCGTAGTTGTCCTGCTCCTTGACAGACTCTGATAGGATTTGCTGCGCCTTTAAAAGCTCCTGCTTGCTTGAAAGCTCACAAACCCTACTCTCTTCCATTAGCTCACAATGCTCACAGCACAAGGTCTCCATGAGGGTCCCTCTTTGAACCGAGCCAGCTTCTGATTGAGGGCCGGATCCGCAAGAGTTAAGGGGGTTGGGGGCAGATCAATGCCTTCAAGCACTCCAGAATCAGAAGTTGTTAATCGAGCAGGGAAAACTAGTGATGACGCTAAGAATCTCATGTCTTTTCTTGGCTCGCTGCCACAGCTGTAGCGTGGGTTAGGGGCTGCATCACCCCTCGAATACTCAGGAACAGCTTGGCGACATCTGCCTTCGCAGTGATCAAATCAAATGAACTATTGCTGAATAGCGTCCTTGTTAGTAGCTTCTTGTTCCTAGTAGTGGCCTCCACCCAATAGCGATGGCCTCAACCTACTAGCGTCCTTGTTACTAGTAGTAAATCAAATCAATATACAAACACCTGCTAGCATAAAACCCACAGCACCTAAGCACCATCCTCAAACCATAGACGTGGAGGATCTCTTTGATGCCTGGGAAGGTCGGCAAACAAGTGGATGATCGTCGCGCATGGCCATGGTTGGTCCTGCCTGATAGCAAAAGCGAAGCAACATCTCCCGGATCCTTGGCCGGTTTTTTGTGATGGCAAGATGAGTGCAAAGTGGTTTGAATGTCACATTTTACACATTTGCGAATTTGAGATTGTAGCGGGCAATATGACAATGCAGCGCGTGAAACAAGCAAAGGCGATTCCCTGCCTCTGCGATTGGCCGATACGGTGCCCCATCAAGAAGCAGTACAGCTTTGATTCAAAATTACAAATCAAACAAAAGACCAGAAAAGAAAAAGCAATAAATTACATTTTTTAGGTTGTCGGCAAGGTATGTATTTAAGGAAGTAGTAAAGTAAAGAGAACCCGTTGTCCGCAGTTCCTACATCTTCTTAATCGTGTTTTCTTGGCCTAGCGTCCCTACCAACACACACAGTTCGGTTTAGAGGCCATCACTAGGTTGAGACCGAGACCGAGGCCCTTGCCACATGAGAGACTCTGAAGCTTCGTGCAAACTCCGAAGCGCCACTGCAGCTCTGAGAAGCATGAAGCTTCCAAGCAACCAAGGAGACTCGTCTGGAGACTCACCTAAGAGGGCACAGGGTCTGAACAAAAGAAACACATAAACAAACTCACCAGAAAAACTAAACGTCAGTCCTCTTTCTATAGCTGGTGTTTTTCCTCTTATGTTTAAAGACTCTCAACATTTTGAGACTCGACTTCTTCAAAAAGTCGCTCACGTGAGACCGACCAAAAGCCAGAAAAGAAGAACTTCTGGCTTTGCAAAAAGAACTCAGCGAAAGCGCCAATGCAGCCAAGGCAACTTGCATGGCCAGCTTTAGTTTGAAGAACTCGAGCCTGATGAAATTCTGCCTCACAGCTGTGAGTAGACCATGTGCTTCTAGTAAACCAAATGGTGATGGATGTTCATCCTCAAAAAAGATTGGCCAATAAAAACCTCTGTACATGGCTCCGACTTGCTGGCAAGTCCTCCAAAACCACTATGTCTTTGCCCAGTAACCTTTCGCACCACTAGCTTATGCGTATTTGTGCGTTGAGCTACATACTGTGGCCAAACAGTCTTCGTCGTATAGTTCATCTCTAACGCGAAGGTTCCTTGCTTTGAAGCCCATTGCTACAAGCGAGTGACATATAATTTGCTCCTAAGGAGCGGTCACATGAAAACAAACTGTTAACAACTCTGGTTGATGTGCAAGCAACAAGTGCATCGCTACTAGAAACAAAGGCATCCGATTGAGCAGGTGTACTAGACTAGTATCAAATTCAGCAGGTGTTGACATGTTTTGACCATACTATGACAACCATGAAATAGTACAAACAAAGCGGCCTCTGGATCGCAAGCTTCTGAAACTTCTATAGCTTTGGCACCTCAACTGCTAGGATAAAAACAATGAGGAGGAAAACACATGCTGGTGAATCATGAGTCGAGCGTAACACCAGAAGTTGTCTGGTTTCACAGAATGTCATTGCGGCTGAGCACTCTACAATGTGTCGCAGTCAGCCTTGATGCACAATACAAAGGAGTATTCTAGGTTGGAGGCCATCACTAGTAGGTTGGTCAATTTCTCGCCACAATCGTGGGTGGCCAACGCAATAAAGAGGACGGCAGCAAGATGATGAGAACTAAGGATCATGTGTCCTGGAGCGTTTTGTATTTGGGCTTGATACTTAGGTTACTCTTAGACGAAGTTCTGTTAAATCCACATGAGCTGTTCTATCATTTTGCATCCACATTGGTCAGCTTGCATCAAGTCCTGTGAGATTTCAGGCATCCATGAATGCGGCGATCCAACGCCTAGGCCAACACTCTCAAGACCTCAAAAGCCAAGACCTTCAAAGAAGTGCAATGCATTCAAAATTCCAAACCAGTTCTTGAGGAATGTCTTTCTAGCAAGTGTCCTTTGGTGGGGGGGTAGCCTGAAGGGTAGGACGCTAGGGTAGGAGAGGTAGGTAGGTAGCTAATTACTAGTAGGAAACCTCTCCAACCTTCTTCCGCTTCCTTAAGCTTCTTTGAAGAACTCTTCGTCTTCGCATAGTCAAGACACTTGCTAGAAGTAGATTAGATGTTACAGAAACTATATAATCCTAATAGAGAAGTACGTTCAAACCGATAAACTCTTCAAGTAGCGTTATATGCTCTGTTCCAAGAATACGTGTTCTATGCACATTTCGTTGTTTCATGCCTTTGCCAAGAGGCCTTTCGTGTCTTTCTTGTGACCACGGATCTCAACTTCCCGTGGACTTCCCACGGTCTTTGAGCCGAAAAGGCACAAGTGCGAGAAAGGATACGGCAAACAGCGTTGGTTCTCTCCTAGTAGTAACAAGTGCCACGCTAGTAGTAACAAGTGCATCGCTTCTAGTAACAAGTGCCTTACTAGTAGTAACAAGACGCTATTAGAAACAATACGACATTAAACTGGAACAGGTAGAAATCATAGGACATGGTACGAGTCGGTTGAGCGCCCCAAAAAAAAGTATATCTTGGAGTTCGAGCCACTGTTTAACTATTTCGCAGCCTTAAGCTGTGCAACTTGCTTGTTGCGACTAAGTGGTCTCTGAGGTGAAACTTAATTGGAAGCTGTAAGATCTTTACTTAATGAACTGTCCTACGCGTTGCTCCAGAAACTTTCAATCAAGCGATGGAGGTGAGCAACCTGTTCCTATCCTCTTTCCCATATTGGGCTGGCCGGATGATTGCATCCGATTCTCCAGCGGCCTTGCACTAGTTACTAGTGACATCAGGCTCAGGGAATTGTGCCGAAGGCACATTGCAGACAAGGAACGACGGCAAAATCCTTTTGAGCGACCTTTAAAACAGGGCAAGCAAGGCAAATAGTTCCCAGCATGTCCCAACCGTCACAGCCTGACCACCTGTTGGCATGGATCTCATGTCATCACCTGACAACTCGAGATGAACTCAACATGTTCATGGTCAAAAGTCCAAAGAGTGCTGTGTCCACTGCATCTTTTGAACAGCAAAACGTGGCAGCATGACACTGTGTCCATCTTCTCTTCGCTGCACGACTGAAACCGACGTGAACTTGTTGGGGTCGAGCTGCGGGCTGTGCTCTCTGGCAGCTACACAAGTGAGCCTTCAACCTAAGAGCGATGGCCTGCAACCTACTGTGGACAGTGCATGGCATCTTCCCACCACACTTGGATGCACTTGTTACTAGTAGCGTCCTTGCTCGTAGTAGTAAGGCCAGGAGCCCCTAGTAGCGTCCTTGCTCCTCGTAGCGATGCCCTTGTTACTAGTAGCTCCTCTGGCTGCCAAACATTTTGGAAGGCAACATATGTCCACAGGCCGGACTGTGCCTTTTTGCTCTTGGCCTTGTGCTCCTTATAATTGGATTCAGCACAACCTCAAGGAGGTACGGGGTGATCGAGCTCCTTTGGTTTCCTAGTTTTGTCCAGTAGTAGAAAGCAAAATACCCTGTGATCTCATCTAAGTTGGCCATGTGTGCTGCACAGCTACAGTTTGTGAGGCTGTTTCATCTGAGCTCTTGGCTTCGCTCTGCAGCAGCCTCAAACTCTTTCATGCGCTCCTCCGCACCAGCTTCATTGTCAGAGTGACTCGCTGACACTGATTCTGCGACTATAAAATATATTTAGTAACAATGTTCGCTACTAGGGGCTCCTGGCATCGCTACTAGGAGCAAGGACGCTACTAGGGGCTCCTGGCCTTACTACTACGAGCAAGGACGCTACTACGTAGTAACAAGAAGCTTTACGCCAATTACGTTACTACATGCTTAGAAGGCTTCAGAGACCTCCGTTGAAGCCGCAACAACAACTAGCTTCTGACATGCGCTTCCACTCCGAACCTCTACACAGACCAAGACTCTCCAAAGTCTGGAGAATGGACAAGAACCCAACATCGGCTTCAACGAATTCCTTTCGGTGAATTTGAGGTCCTTCTTTCACAAAAGCAGTAACATGCAAACTCCTGTGCGAGCACTACGTCCGGCTTAAGTCTCCTCATCGATGGTGTCGAAAATGTCGAACTTGGAAAATTTATCTGCCAGTTCAGTTGGTACCTTCAACATGCACTGCAAATGCAAATGCCACTCTTGTCTGGCATGTGGATTGAGTTCCAGCTCACGCCCGGCCTGGTCATCCAAGTTAAAACCTGCAAATGCTTCTGATGTTTCTTCGTTGAAAGTCGTCAAATGTGCGCAAGTTCCTTGACGGCTTTGGAGACCTGCCTGCTGTGCCAGGAAGTGTTATTGATGATGTCGGAATCTCGGTTGAAATCTCGTCTTCGAGGTCCACCTGGACGCGGGTGAATTCAGAATGGCAGCAGAAATCAAAAGAAATATAATAAACAAATGCATCATCGTGACATGAATCATTCTTCGCAAAACAAACAGTTTCTCCTGAATGGATAAAACGAATGTGTTCAGGAGTTTCATGGAGTTTCTAAGCGAAGTCCCCTTGAAGAGTTCATGCGTGGGCCAAGATTCAAAGAGTGCAGCCATGTGGCAGGGGTTAGAACCACTGGCGTAGGCATGCTCATGAATTTTCCTCTGTCAGGATTCCTCATGGCAGCATCAATGTGTACAAACAGAACGGGGGGGGTCGTTTCATCGCGCCTTTTTCCTCTGGATCTTCGTACAAGAACTGTCTAAGACAGTGACCTGTTCTTTCTCACGAACTTCTTGAGCGCCTCGTACAAGTAAAGTTGGTTAGCATGCTTTGGACAACGATAAGTTGGTTCGCATTCTCATGTGGACGCACCACCTCTGCAGCCTCCTTCTCTGAGAGAATATTCGACTCCGGAATGGAAGGAATCATGGCCTCAATTCACAAGAGTTTCCAACAAAAGCCGAATCTTGCACCTGCAGTCGGAGCAAGTCTGATGAAACGTATCATCCACAACTCACTACGTTTCCGCAGAACGTTTCCGCTCACCTCTTTCGTGCCACTCACCAAACCATAGAGCGGGTCGTTGCCGGGCAGGCAATGATGCACGCAAACTGTTTGGATCTGACTAGTGGTGTTCGATCCTGTGTTCAAACCTTATGCTGTGAAACTGTCTGAGCCTTCAATGCAGAGGTCATAAATGCAATAAACAAGCTGCGAAGTCGTTGACTAGCAAAAGAAGGTTTGTGAAATCTCCATTGTCTCCTCATGTGGCATGGGTTCAAAAGGTATTGAACCTTTTGCCATTGATTTGAACTATCAGCAGTCAGCAGCTGATAATCCACTGTTCAATCCTCAAGGAGCATGTTTTGACCGTCCGGCAGCGTTCAGAGTCGCTCTACGTTTGGAGCCTGCATGATGTCTGCAATGCATGAAGAAAGCTGATAGGAGGTTTGGGAAAGCAAATTGAAACTAATCGCTCTTAGGTTCCTTTTGCTATGAGGGTGGAGGCCATCGCTAGTAAGTTGGAGGCCGTCGCTTCTAGGGCAAGTTGTATCGAAGAACTGTCAGAAATTGGCCTTACACTGTGTTCCCATGTCTGCCTTATCAGCCTTCACTTCTTCATCTCTACGGCATTGACGCGGGCTCCAAAAGTCAATGAACACATCGACTCCTCATGGGGGAAACGTCCTTCTTCTACTCACGTTGCAAGCACGTCCCGACCAGTTGCTTGCTGTGACTGGGACCACGTATTTTACGAGTTCAACTCCCGTCCTCCACGTGACTTGCACAAGGATTGATTTGTAGCAGCATCAAAGTCTTCGAGTCGCCACCCAAAGAGTCCTCACATCTAGCAAAGGGCATCGCTACTAGGGGTGCTCCCTGCCTTACTACTAGGAACAAGAAGCTACTATAGTAACAAATCTAGAAGAGAAACGAAAGAATCTCGTTCCCAGTTGGCAGGCAATTAAGTCGAAGACATTCGAGTCTAGAAGCGAAAGCTGTCCATTCTTTAGGCACACCATGTGTTACACAGAAGATATGATATATTAGAAACAAAGGTGCTAAATGTATAGGGGGTTAGGCCGTGGCCGTGAAGAGGAAAGGTAGGTACAAGTAGAATCAAGTAGGTAAAAGGTTCCTAGAGTAGCTATTAAGTAGGCTGCCGCCACGAGTATCTGGGACGCAGAACAGCTCAGGCTTCTTGAAGGAAGCTAAGCCCTCGCGTGATTGATGTGGTTCCTAGGTTTGGGGGAAACTTAACTTTTGAAACAGTTGGTCTAACTTGAGGGTAAAGGAAACAAAATGCCAAAAAAAACGCCTCCTGTCTCATGATCTAGCCCAGGAGAATTTAGAAAGAATGGAATTGTCAGTGCTGTCCTGTTCCAGAAAGAATTATCTCGACCGCATGTTCAAACCAATTGATGCAGCCAGCGAACCATCCGAATGGAAATCAGCTGCATTCATCGAATGGAGATTGCCATCTGGAGTGGATGGTCTCTAAAACCCTGTGCATGCGCAAAGGACCACCTTTAGAAAGGTGACATCTCTTCTTAGTATAATTTGTTCATGGCGGTCCACGCGAAAGCTATCATGGCTTATGGGCCATGCCCTCTTCTTAGTTTAAAAAAATAACATGTGTATATCATATATGTTTGCCAACTCCGGAGGGGCCCAGTCCTGAAGGAAATGCGTCAGAACCGAGTTCCTGTATGGCGTATGTGCATTCTTCTGGGCCTCACATGGGGACGGTGCTGTCACGCTGCCAAGACTTTCCTTTTGCCTTTAGACCTATCTTCCTTTTTTCCTTTTCTTTAGACCTCTCAGGTATTTCCAATCTCCAAGACTGTCAAGTCTCAGCTCACCCGCGCTGCAATGACATCCCCCAGTGCGCTCAAAGATTGGTTGATCTTTATAGCCTCGCCATGACAATTGGGTGCCATGTTTGATCCATTTGAATCCAGTACTCAGTTCAATGCTGAAAACAAAAACAGCCAACCCCTCCTGCCTCTTTTTGGCGGTCACCAGAGACTCCTGACTTGGCTAAGCGCTCTGATCCAGCCAAATCCACCTGGAGTGGAAATGTGCATTGTGGAGCAGTGGCAAAGCAAGTTTGAAAAACCCTACGCTAGTAGGTTGGAGGCCATCGCTCTTAGGTTGGAGGCCTGGGTTGGACGCCATCACTAGTAGGTTGGAGGCCATCGCTATTGGGTTGGAGGCCATCGCTAGTAGGTTGGAGGCCATCGCTATTTGAGGCTGGATTGCCTTCCAGAACCCTAGATGCAAGGATACCTCTTCTGGGAGTCTTCACTACTCCTTGCTACCAAAAATATGCTTGGAAAGAGAAGCAACAGGGAATCACAGTTTCTTACACGCTCCCATGCAAAACGAAAGCAGGCCAAAGTCCCTCGCCAGCGTGATGGCTGAGGAGAACTGCTTGCCCTCAGGGTTTGTCATGGTTCCCAAAATCTGTACCTGAAGTCGAGACTTCCAGACTTGGTCCCAAGAAGCTAGTAGAAACAAGTGCATCGCTACTAGGAACAAGTGCATCGCTACTAGTAACAAGTGCCTTACTAGTAGTAACAAGAACGCTACGTTCGGGGCTCCTGGCATCACTACGAACGGAGCGATCGGACGCTACTATAGATACAGTGGTTTTCAGTTCGAATGCTAAGCACCTCACCGCCAAATGAGACCTGGAGGAGTGCAAGTTCATGTCGGTCGAGGCAACGGTTCGGTTCCTCGGAGCGACGCGCCAGGTGTGCTCCGAAAGCGACCAGCGGCCTCCAACCTAATAGCGTCCATGCTCCGTTCGTAGCGATGCCAGGAGCCCCGAACGTAGCGTTCTTGTTACTAGTATGTAAGGCACTTGTTACTAGTAGCGATGCACTTGTTCCTAGTAGCGATGGCCTCCAACCTAATAGCTCCGAAAGATTCATTCCTGATCTTCCTCACTGAGACGTGGATTTGTGATCAAAATCCACATACATAGTGTTTCTTTCCCAAACGAAATATGTTGTGTGATCACACCGCAACACAACTACGTAGTCGCACTATTGCCCAGGAGGCCACAACATATATCGAACCGCTGACACCCTCCCCATCCCTCCCCCAAAAGCTGTCTCTATTTCGACCAATACTATTGCATAGTATTGCGGCTTCTAACGATCGATCAACGCGGCGATCAATGATTCCACCCCGCCAGCCCCGCTCTAGGGCAAGCTTGATGGGTAGCTCTTCGGATGCCACATTTCGTAATATTTCTGGTACCGTGGTTGCAAGGAAACTCGGACAAAAAACAGTCTGAGCCTCACACGCTTGTGCTGTGTTGAGCAATGACTCTACCTCCTGCACGTTATTCACGGGCCTTAGATGAACAAGAAACATGTGGCTTGGCAAATGCAAACTTCTCATGAACTGCAAACGAAGCAACTAAGGACCTAAGTAGGGGGAGGCCATCGCTAGTAGGTTGGAGGCCATTACTACTAGTAACAAGAAGCTACTAGTAAGCATTAGACCTGAGTAGGACCTAAGGAGCTGAGACGCCTGGCAGCATTGTGAGGCCCGGAACATAATTGCCCTCTTTCCCTTGCCTTACCTCAGGCGGTAGGCACAATCCTCAAGAAATCCGTAACATCTTGACAGCTCTAAAACGGTCATTACGAAACAAAAGGTCAGACCCTGTACTTCCACAAATCAACTTGAACAATTCCTGAGAAGCCTGCCTGAAGCTTCTGTTTCTTGTCGTTTGGTCCCAGCAAGAGATCGCGAACTTCCTGACGGTAGGGCATGGCGGTAACAAGTTTGGGAAATGATCCGCAAATATGTTGTTGAGCCTCTTCCTAGTGTTGCTGATTGCATCGTTCTTTGCATTTAAAAACTGCGGCCTCATTGTAGATCTCCACACATGCCTCGAGTATGCTTTTATGAACCTCTCAACCACTACTCAAGAATTTCCGTTGTAACTTGTAACTGAGGAGCAAACACCCTTGAGTTCTATCTTCCACGCAGTGCGTTCTCTGGCAACCTGGTCGAGAAACTGTTGATGGGTTTTTTTGGTTTCGCTTGTGTCTGCTGTCCAAGACCTGCGCAGGGTTCCCTAATGTCTTTTGCTCTTGTCAGGTGGCCTGGAATCTTTTACAAGTGATTGAAACCTTGGAAAGCAAATGTGGTGAGTTCTTCACATGTCTTCGCTGCACCTTGCACTTGGAAGAGAAACGTTACTTCGAAACCGAGTCAGGAAACCAGAGTCAGGAGATCAAGTTCGAGCCCGGAAACCGAGTAAGGAGATTTGAACGGCAGAGTCAGGCAGCCTATGAGAGAGTCCAAAGGGATGGAACTCACTAACTTGGAAGTACAAACCAAAGCCATGAGTCAGGAAAACCATGTGGGACACATTTTGGGCCGGAGGGACGTGGGGTCTAGAAAGCTGGACAGTTTGAAACTATGAGTCGGAGGAGACGGGTGGTGAGTCAAAAATCCTGGACGGCAAACGAGTCCGCAAACTTAGACTTTTCGGGAATTCCAACCCAAGAGCGATGGCCTCCACCCTAGTGGCGTTGGCCTCCAACCTACTAGCGATGGCAGCTTGAAAGCCAGTTATTCTTTCTGGCCTGTGCCCAGATTGGACCGGTCTATTCCAAGACACCTAGGGTAATTGTTTCCTGACTCCATCTTCTCCCCATGCGGAATACAAAGCGCTCCCTTCCGAACCTTGAAGAGCTCGTTGAATGTCCGAGAGTAGACACCCGGGTTGTCCCTCAAATCATGTCATAGCTTCTAGATTGGAAGCGATCACTAGCCGGTTGGAGGCCAGTGCTAGTAGGTTGGAGGCCATCGCTAGTAGGTTGGAGGCCATCGCTAGCAGGTTGGAGGCCAACGCTAGCAGGTTGGCGGCCAAAGCTAGTAGGTTGGAGGCCATCGCTTGTAGGAACTATAGCTTCTCTATGCTTCTCTTCTTTCTGCACTTGAATGTGGAACCAAAGCTTGCTTAGGTCCGATCGATGAACCTTGCATGGAGAACGTCTTTCCAGATCCTGTCTGGCCATATGCGAACATGCAGACGTTGTAGCCTGGCAAAGTCTTAAAAACAGCATGACAGAATAGATCGGACAGCTCCATGAATCCAGTCTGGCAAATGACTACCACACAGCCCGTGTTGCCAACACTTTCGTCAAGTTTGTTCTCTCACACCTCTCAATTTCCTTCTTGCTTGGGACTCCAGCCATCCAGCATCGACACAACAAGGTCGCGAATTCCACTGAAAAGGTCTTCCTGGAATCGGAGCTGCTCGGCTGGCAGGTGACATGAACAAGAAGTCTGAATACTTAATGGCCTCCAACCTACTAGCGATGGCCTCCCACCTAAGAGCAGGTGTTTAAAGAAAAAGAAAGAAACACGCCTGTTTGGATTCTTGGCGGTAAATTTCATTGAACTGCCAAGACCTTGCACAATCACCACAAGCAAAGACATCGGGTGGGCGAGTCATTGAGAGGTCGACTTTGTAACTCCGAGTTCAGGATTGCTGATCTTGATCTGACAAAGACGGGAAGAGAGGAGAAACAGAACAAAATGGCTTGGCGTTCACTGTCCGGCCTCATCTGGAGCCGGGTAGGAGATGCAGCAGCCATTCGCTGCCCTTTGTTTGTACTGAGCTCCGTTGGCAAGTTAGCAGACTACAAATTTGTTGATTTCACCCGCATAAGTATAAGCTTTGGACTCTGCATCTGTCATTGGCCGAACACGGCAATAGACCCGAATGTTGCCTGCGGCAAGCGGAGATTCCTGTCTTGGAAGGACAATCACACGCAAATGCTGGAATCGCAAAAGTTACTACTAGCGTGGCACTTGTTACTAATAGCTTTTTGTTACTACTAGTAAGGCACCTGTTACTACTAGCGTGGCACTTGTTACGGCGAACAAGAACACTTGCAAAAAGGCTCCAGGTTTGGCCTGAACGGGCCCATAGTGACCCTTACCCCAACGATCCTAGGACTCCTAGTTGTTCGCCAGGAATTTGGAGCAAGCTCTTTGAACTTTGACTTCACACACTTCACGCCTTTCAATTCCTGCACCAAATTGTGCAACCTGATCTACAGCTCAAAGAAAGAATCTCACAAGCTGGTGTTCTCTCTTCAAGGCGATACACTTGATAGACTTGCTTGCAGAATCTTCAGCTTCTGATGTGAGTCAAGTGGCTTCCGTCTTCGATCGCATTCGATACTATACTTCTCCTTCCACTCCTGCCCCATGGATGGCTGACGTGCATGTTGACTTCTTCACTTCCATCAACTGTAGATGACCGTCACTTCAAGCAATCTGGATGCATTCAAAAAAAATCGGCCAACAACCACTGATAGCAATACACTGCAGCGGGGCCTGCGCAGATGAGTCCAGAAGTTTTTTCAACTCTGAGGCCTTGCCTTGCATCACTTCTTGCAAGACCTACAAGATAGTGTCTATGTCTGCAGAACCAAATGCCAAAAAACAATCATTGAACATGATCAATCTATCTTACCTATCTATTTGAAAAATATTCCACGTAATTCTAATATCTCTCAAGTATTGAGCTCAGGCTTGGCCTGAGGTAGCTGCTGCTGGATCTCAGCTGTTACCTGGCATAGCCGCTCTGGCCCATATCACCAGACTGTATATATCAAGGTCGCCGTTTGGCACGCTGGCACGGAGGTCTGCAACCTGCTTTTTGCCTGCAAACACTAGATCCAAGCACTGGGTGAGAAAATAAATGGACAAACGTTCAGCACAACACCAGAAGCACAGTGATGCACAGTAGTAGCGTCCTTGCTCCTAGTAGTAAGGCCAGGAGCCCCTAATCCTGAATAAAAAGGCAATCTCAATACAGTAGGATTTGCCGCTACTTATTTGATTTCTTTTTATCACTTCTCTTTGGCGGGACTTCAAAGCACTAGCAAATTGCCTTGATCTACACAATGTGACGGGCACACCGTCATATCGAAACATGGTGAAACTGTAAGCAATGTGAGCAATTCGAAATAGCTGTGCTATTTCAGCTTGTGAATGCCCTTCGCCAAAAGCATTTTATGTCCAATCGATTTCACTCCGCAAATCGACCATAGACTCGGCTCAATTGCGTGTAGCAAACTCCCCTCGATTTCGTCTGTGATGATGGCACTCTTCAGAAGCCGAAAGTCACATTCGAACTCTCTCTTCAACCTCAATCTCAGGAATCTGAGGCTGATTAAGGAAGCATGAAAAAGAAGCATGACTGCAACCATTCCACTTGTTGCGATCAAAGCGGCGCATCAAAGTACTGGAGCAAGTTGCCTCTTCCTGATAGATCTTCAAAACACCGGAAGTCTTGCGTTGAACTAAATCGTGTCTTTTGCTGACCAAATGATCAAAATGCAAGCAAAGCACTGTTGTCCAAGCTCAGAAGCCATTCACGAAAGTTCCTCTCCATTGAAGCTTCCACGGCGTCCTTAATGTCACATCCATTGGGGATTCAGCTGTGACAACGAAGGCCCAAAAGAGCCTCTTTTGGCTAAACATTGATTTAATAAAGGACGACGCTACTAGGGTGGACGCCATCGCAAGTAGGGTGGCGGCCATCGCTACTAGGGTGGAGGCCATCGCTACTAGGGTGGGGGCCATCGCTTTAATAAAGGACAATGGGGTGGTAAGCTCCACAAGGATCCCTGCCGTTGAAGAAAGCACTCATGTGCTTCATGGCCAGCATCTTCCAAAATTATCCTAAATCCTTCAACCATGTTGCACTTTCGAGCTGAAGACACCTGGTCTTCAGCCATGGCTTTGCTGACAAGTTGCTGGCTCTACCATCGTTTCTGATGAACCCTTGGAAGTTGTCTAGATTTGAACAATTGCACACACAAGCGTCAATGTCATGAGGCAGCATCTACTACTCCAATCTAGTCTGGTAGTGTTCCTGCGTGAAACATGGTAATCCGGTAGTCCCAAGAATCACTCATATACAGCACAACATGTAAGAGAGACTAGTGCAAATAAGGTTCCGGAGTTGAAGCTGCCTTGCAAAAGGAAGCTCAACGGCAAGTGCTTGATTCACCAAAACTCTTTGGAAGAAAGGTCCGAAGAAACGCTGAAGAATAAAAGACACCTCCCACCCCAGACAATCGCTAGCAGGGTGGAGGCCATCGCTAGTAGGCCAACCCACAGGACGGTGGCAACGACACCGCAAAAGAAAAGCAAAGCTCAATTGGATGGCAACTGTCTTTCGGCAAGCAAAAATCTTACTAGAGGATCCCAATGATTGCATGTTGAGTCATGCGGACCAGGCGCAGGTTCTTCCAAGGTCGTCGCCCCTGTCAAAGGCTTAGCTGGAGATGGGCGTTGACAGCTCGCCGCTGAGTCCTTGGCGGGAGGGGCAGTGCTTGCAAATGAATCATGAGGACAACATCACAACCAATCTTGCCCATTGCCCCTTGTCTATGTCTATAAATATAATATATATATATATATATTTGTCTAGATGGAGCAATGCCCAAGAAAACTTGAGGCCTTCATAGCATGTGTCTGAACCACAAACATATTGAATCTAACAGCCCAAGCAAGCACCAGAGTGCACACTGCTGACAAGCATCCACCTCTGAAGCAGCCTTGCGTGCAACACAGCTGATAAACGATCACCAACCAAAATATGTTTTTAATGCCGATCCTTTATTGCTTTGCGCAGTGCATCGAATCAAAAACGGCACGGCACGCCTCTATTCGAGGTTCTTTCGTTGAAGTTGGCGGCACAACTTCACTCTTCGGTTGAGCGGCAGGCTTTGGAGGTGGTGCACTCTCCTCTGGTGCCTAGTAGAAATGTTCAGAGATCAGAGGAGACCCCGCCAGACATCAGTTGAAGTGCAGAAGAACCGTTGAAGGCAACAAGCAATGTGCTCAGCCGTGGTCAAGATACACTACCTGCTCAACCCGTTTGTCGGACAGTGGAGCCTTCAGGCTCGGTCGTGGTTTGCTCGATTCCTGACCCGTCGCACATGCGGGTGTGTGTGCCCACAAGGAAACAGGAGAATTCCAATCAGCTCAACTGACAGTCTGACAGTCTGATGCAAGACATGTCTTAGAACGAGACAAGAAAGGTCTGATAATGAAGGAAAGAAAAGCGAACAGAGAGAACAGGTCTAAAGGTCTAAAGACAGAAAAGCAGAAAATAGACTTTAAACGCTTTTTTTAAGAACACAAAAGGCACCTGCATTCCGCTTGGCTGCTGTGGGGACTTGGCCATAGTTTCCTCCACCTGAACACCATGAGCCGAAGGGCCGGAAGGGCAAATCTGCCTTGAGGGCAACTGATTGATTCGGCTCTAGCTTCCTTGTTACTACTACTAGTAAGGCACTTGTTCCTAGTAGCGATGCACTTGTTACTAGTAGCTTCTTGTTTCTACTAGCTGCCTTGTTACTACTAGTAAGGCCCTTGTTACTAGAAGCGATGCACTTGTTCCTAGTAGCTTCCTTGTTACTACACACATGGTTGACTCAAATTTCATGAAAATATTGTCAAAAATCCTAGTCGTTATAAGATACTTTTAAAGAATAAGAGCAGCTGTCATAGTACTCCTCGTTGTCCTGGTCTAGGCATGACATTGGTGTAAGTATTGGAAAGCGATTGGGCATTCCACACGTTCAGGGGAGTTCTTGTTTCTTCCAAATCTACCCGGCAAATCGCAGAACTTGCAACGTTTGATCGAATGGTTAATTTCAAGAACGGGCTCAGGGGCAAATATCTGTTGCATCACTGGGTCTTGCACGCAAAGACTGGACTCAACCAAAATAACATGGCTTTGCCTGCCCACGTCGGAAAATGATGGGGCCTATGCAAGGGGCCCTGCAAGCTCTGTATGTAAGAACATAAACACATCCCAGCAACTTTAATGGCTGCTCCTGCCTTCAGTGTTGGCTTTCGCAGCGGAAGTCTTTTTCTCGAAGACATCGGCCCTGGCACTGATTGCGCCAGATTGACGCCTTTAGCCGCCTCCTGGACAGTCCAAACTTGTGGAAGAAAGCGTGCTTTTTGGAAAGCTCATACCTAGTCTTTGAGAAAGCGTTCTAACAAAACAGCCTTGGTTTTGTAGTGAGCCCAGGGTCTAGCAGGAGGGTGTCAAGCCAGGGTGGCTAGCCAAATCAAGATTGATCCACAAACAACGACACATTCATATCCAGGTAGATTGAGCTAGATCGAGTTCGTTTGGAAGGTATTGATGCTATTTGTTTAATTTGAAAGCAATCATATGCGCTTTGGAAACAACGCAACAACCTTATATTAGGTTGGAGGCCATCACTCTTAGGTTGGAGGCCATCGCTTTTAGGTTCCTTTCGCTAATTGAAGATCCCAAAGGCCCGATCAGCAAAAACGGATTATGTCTTGCCATTGTCTTTTGAATTATTTACTGAGGCTCAAAATCATTGTCCAGCAATCAGCGCATCAAATAAGATTCACCTATTCCATTTTGCCCCCCTTGCCCCCGTCCTTTATGGACCTGAAGTGAGCTGTTACAAGAAGCCCCATGGACATATTGAAATGTCCAGATCTGAACAAGCGACTGTCTTGGGGTTCTCTTTCCAACTACACGTTCTTTCATGAAAAGCCCGATCAAATAGAGGCCAGCCCCTTACAGTATGTCTTCCCACTACAAAAGATCAGGAGGTCCCAGCAAAGGCTCATGAACGTTCGATTAGGTTGGAGGCCATCGCTATTAGGTTCCTTTCGCTGCTCAACGTTCAAGATTGCGCAGTCTTCACGGCAAAACATGCACTGGCTCCTTGGCGCTAGGCTTCGGAACTTTCGGCGCTGGTCCCACTCTTCCTATTGAGCACGTGGGCTTCGGTTGCTTGCCATCTGCAGGTTCCGCTTCCTCCGCACAAATCGGCAAAGGCTAAGTTCTCTCCACAAGTCAACATCTTGCTGGAGGATCTGATATGATCCCAGCGGTTGCAACAAAAACCAATTCACTTCATGCCTTGTCACCTTGTCACGATCGCATGTTGAGTCATGCGGACCAGGCGCAGGTTCTTCCAAGGTCGTCGCCCCTGTCAAAGGCTTAGCTGGAGATGGGCGTTGACAGCTCGCCGCTGGGTCCTTGGCATGTGGGGCAGTGCTTGCAAATAAATCGTGAGGACAACATCACAACCTATCTTGCCCATTGCCCCTTGTCTATGTCTATAAATATAATATATATATATATATATGTCTAGATGTAGCAATGTCCAAGAAAACTTGAGGCCTTCATAGGATTTGTCTGAACCACAAACATGTTGAATCTAACAGCCCAATTAAGCACCAGAGTGCACACTGCTGACAAGCATCCACCTCTGAAGCAGCCTTGCGTGCAACACAGCTGATAAACGATCACCAACCAAAATATGTTTTTAATTCCCCAAATAGTGCTCCGCACTAAGGGGTTCTTACGGTAAGAGTTAAGCGGGCTCAGATCAGGGTTCGCGCGTGTGGCTGCGGCAGTTTGCGTGGGCCGGCTCGCACAAAAGTTACTTTTTGAATTCCTCATGTCCATTTCGACTGCGCAGGCTCGCATAAAGTGGTGGCCGCGTCTTTTGCGCTTCCGGGACAAAGCTCTTGTGCAGGTGCCGTGCTCGTTTTCGGACATGAAGTGCATTTTGCGTGGCAGGCGCAAGGAATTCGACACATTGGAGCCTCGAAAAGGTCATTTTACGTGGCAGGTGCAAGGAATCGGAGACTTTGCAAATTTCGTGGCAGGCGCAGTGTTTTGTGGACGTTGCAAACGTTGGCAGGCGTGTGTCATTCGCAGGATTGCGTTTCGCGTGGCAGGCGCAGCGAATCCGCACCATGGATGCGATATTTTGAGGTGAAACGGGTGAATTCGTGAGAGGGGTCGCATTTTTGGAATTTGAAGTTGAGGATGCTTTTGCGTGGCCAGTGCAGCATTTCGTATGACCTGCAGGCATGATGTCGTGGCAGGCACAGCATTTCTGAAACGCATTTCAAAATTTGCGAAAGCCTCGTGTAATTTGCTCATGTTGGATCTCCGATGCGCAGATTTCGTGGCAGGCGCAGCACTTTGTGAATCTCGATGTGCAGAGTTCGTGGCAGGCGCAGCACTTTGTGAATCTCGATGTGCAGCTTGCGTGGCAGGCGCAGCACTTTGTGAATCTCGATGTGCAGATTTCGTGGCAGGCGCAGCACTTTGTGAATCTCGATGTGCAGATTTTGTGGTAGGCGCAGCACTTTGTGAATCTCGACGCGCAGGGTTCGTGGCAGGCGCAGCACTCTGTGAATCTCGATGCGCAGCTTGCGTGGCAGGCGCAGCACTTTGTGAATCTCGATGTGCAGATTTCGTAGCAGGCGCAGCACTTTGTGAATCTCGATGTGCAGATTTCGTGGCAGGCGCAGCACTTTGTGAATCTCGATGTGCAGATCTCGTGGCAGGCGCAGCACTTTGTGAAGCTGGATGTGCAGATTTCGTGGCAGGCGCAATACTTTGTGAACCTCGATGCGCAGAGTTCGTGGCAGGCGCAGTACTTTGTGAACCTCGATGCGCAGATTTCGTGGCAGGCGCGGTACATTGTGAACTGCGAAATGCTCCTATGTACTCGCCTGTGTGCTCTCAGATTTGTGCTTGTATGTGCTCTCACATTTGTGCTCTCAGATGTGTGCTCCCATATGCTCTCATATGTGTGCTCTCATTTGTGCTCGTGAATCTCGATGCGCATCCTTCACCTCGTCCCATGCGGTTGCGCTGGGGCGGCCCCTCGCATTGGCGTCGCACGCACTCGCTGCTTACCACCGCGGAAAACATGCGCGTCTGCAGTCGTAGCTTTTTGTTTTACAACGACCTTCCAGCCATATTACTCCCTGGCATTTTTGGCACTACGTTGGTCGCACTCTCCTCCTTATAACCTCACGCCTGGTCCCTCTGGTCTTTCACATGCTTCCGCATCTGCTGCTCTCATCTGTGCGCTCGCACATTTGTGCTCTTGTCCGTCTCCTCTCATATTTGTGCTTTCATCTGTGTGCTCCTTCTTTCCTTCCACGTGATGCCATGTTCCATCTGTTCCTCTTTACACTATTTGGGGTCCCTTGCCGGTGTAATGTCGATCCTTTATTGCTTTGCGCAGTGCATCGAATCAAAAACGGCACGGCGCGCCTCTGTTCGAGGTTCTTTCGTTGAAGTTGGCGGCACAACTTCACTCTTCGGTTGAGCGGCAGGCTTTGGAGGTGGCGCACTCTCCTCTGGTGCCTAGTAGAAATGTTCAATGCAAGTCATCAATCTGTCAGGTCTTGACCCTGGCGAAAAGTTGCAAATGACCACTCGAACCTGCAAGGTGACCGGCAGCTCTTGCGATGCCTAACATTGAGATGCAAATCCCTCCCACAGGCATCCGCAAGAAGAGTGCTGGGTACCTTGAAAGCACTTACCATGCTACTCGCTAATACTATGCACCTGCGCTCCACTTGGCCGCGGTGATTGCTTGAGCGCGGATTCCACCACCTGACAGCCGGGGGGCATTTCATGTCTATTCGGCACACCTTTCACATATGGTGAGGTACACACTGTACTACACGGCGGGGGGTGTCACTTGCGCATCGACAATTAGCGTCACTTGCGCATCGATGGCCATATCATCACCTCTTACATCCGTACGCAACGGACACACACAGTTCTCTATGATTCATCTAAGGATGACCATTTCTATGTGATCTACAGCTTGACATTGATGACAGGTCTGATAAGTTGAGAGTGTAGGATCTGATATGATCCCAGCGGTTGCAGCAAAAGCCAATTCACTTCATGCCTTGTCACCTTGTCACGATCGCATGTTGAGTCATGCGGACCAGGCGCAGGTTCTTCCAAGGTCGTCGCCCCTGTCAAAGGCTTAGCTGGAGATGGGCGTTGACAGCTCGCCGCTGGGTCCTTGGCGTGTGGGGCAGTGCTTGCAAATAAATCGTGAGGACAACATCACAACCTATCTTGCCCATTGCCCCTGTCTATGTCTATAAATATAATATATATATATATGTCTAGATGTAGCAATGTCCAAGAAAACTTGAGGCCTTCATAGGATTTGTCTGAACCACAAACATGTTGAATCTAACAGCCCAATTAAGCACCAGAGTGCACACTGCTGACAAGCATCCACCTCTGAAGCAGCCTTGCGTGCAACACAGCTGATAAACGATCACCAACCAAAATATGTTTTTAATGCCGATCCTTTATTGCTTTGCGCAGTGCATCGAATCAAAAACGGCACGGCACGCCTCTATTCGAGGTTCTTTCGTTGAAGTTGGCGGCACAACTTCACTCTTCGGTTGAGCGGCAGGCTTTGGAGGTAGCGCACTCTCCTCTGGTGCCTAGTAGAAATGTTCAATGCAAGTCATCAATCTGTCAGGTCTTGACCCTGGCGAAAAGTTGCAAATGACCACTCGAACCTGCAAGGTGACCGGCAGCTCTTGCGATGCCTAACATTGAGATGCAAATCCCTCCCACAGGCATTCGCAAGAAGAGTGCTGGGTACCTTGAAAGCACTTACCATGCTACTCGCTAATACTATGCACCTGCGCTCCACTTGGCCGCGGTGATTGCTTGAGCGCGGATTCCACAACCTGACAGCCGGGGGGCATTTCATGTCTATTCGGCACACCTTTCACATATGGTGAGGTACACGCTGTACTACACACTGTTTGTAGAACAAGAAAGTCTTGCTCCTGCAAAAACAATACCTTTAGTGAAACGGTCTGCGTTAAGGGTTCCCCAGTATAGACATTCAAAAACAGGGGTGTGTGTATATTTTATAGTATATATATATACCTGAGAAGGGAGGGGACGAAAGCCAGCCTCTGGGTTAGGGGGTGCCCTCAGGGCAAGCCTGGCCAAAGACTTGGCGTGCAAGATGAAGTGATTGGCTAACATCAGGCAAAGAGTACTTTCATGGGGTGAAGTTGACATGGCGGCCACACTGATAAGGAGCAGAAACAGAAAGTAGAATACATAGGGGTGGGGGGGGGGGGGGGCCCCTTTTCGTCCCGGTTCAGGGGCGCTTTGGGGGGGAAAAAGGGCACCCCTAAGGAAGTGAGGGGCGCTTGCCTGCGGCGTGTTGCAAATCAGTGAGCAAACACGGCTGTGGGGGGGCCATTCGTTGCGTTTCCGGCTGCCTCTTTGCGCGGAGGCGGCGGCGGCAGCTTTCTGGCTTTGCTTGACTTGCTCTTTGGGGGTCGGAAGAGCTGAGCCTCCTCAGGTGGTTCACTCAAAGTAGTCGTAGCTGGTGTGGGGGTAGGATGTGGAGGTGTTGGAGCCGACAGCTCACTGCTTATCTGGGACTCGCAGGCTGGCTCTGTTGGCGTCATCTCCGGGGCTGGCTGCGAATTGCTCTTGTCGTGGTGCTGCGTCAATGCCGGTGGCCTGTGCCAAAAGAATAAAATGCTTCATTGGAGACATCAGAACTTGCATCACTTGTGACATCCGTGGATGGGCTTTATCTAAACTAGCAGCAAGAATGCTACTAGTAGTAAGGCCAGGAGCTACTAGTAGCGTCCTTGCTCCTAGAAGCCCTTTGTTACTAGTAGCAAGAATGCTACTAAAGCCCTCCAGCCTCCAGTATGAGGCTCGCCTGCAGAAATGGTCTTGACTAAATATACTCTTCTCCACTCGAACAGGAACGGCTTGTTGAAACAAGAGCACTGCTACAGTAGAGACGAGACCGCTATTGGACGCCTCGGCATCTCTTCCAGTGAAGTCTCGTGCTCACATCTTTCGAATCCTTCAGCTTTCCGTTTCGGTTTTGGAGCTTCGATTCGCCTCGTCACTTTCATCGGGATGCAGTTCGTGTCGCTCGTTTACAGTTAAGTTCACTCTTGTTCAAAAGAGCCGTGTCTTGCTTGAAAAGCATTCTTGTGGCCAGCTGTAAAGGGTAGTTGAGTTTATGAGTTCATGAGCACGTCAACATGCCAACCCCATATACAGCAGAGCAGACTGAGCCTTCTTTTCTTCCTTTCAGTCCGATTCACTGTCGGTCTTTCCATGTCAATCGGACACTGCTCACCTCAGTTCTGCTCTTTGAAAGAAAGAAAAGAAAGGAAAACAGAAAGAGGAGCGAAGAACGGAAAAAGGAATGTTTTTGCATCGCTACCAGTAACATGGGCATCGCTACTAACAAGTTATTGTTTCTTTTACGTAACAAGAAGCTAGAAGGTTGGAGGCCATGGCTATTAGGTTGGAGGCCATTACTACTAGTAACTAGGACGTTACTAGTAGCTGATGGCATTACTACTTATAACAAGTACCTAGTTGCTGGTGTTCGTCGCTCCCGCAGCTGGGCTCCCAAGCTCTTCAGCTCTTCCGGATCAAAGCCTTGGCCTTGGAAGCAGCGGAGGAGACCGCTTCAGTCTCTTTAGATCTTATTGTTTCAGGAGAGTTGAACCATGTTTAGGTGAATCACACCAAGAATTGAGGAAAGATATGTGCGCAGAGGCACTTGATCCACGTTTGACTTAAGACCTATGGGACTTCTTGGTGGATAGCAGCTTCTTCTTTGGCGATCCCAAGTGCCCAGCGATGCTCCCCAATACTAGCTGCACCTTTCTGCGTGAGTCTCCTGTGATTCACACATCTTTGTAATTGTTCCGGATGGAGACATTGAACAGTTTGCTTTTGTCTCAAACGATTCACGACGTGTGAATTCCAGACTTTGTTTCTTGCTCCAACGGGTGCTGCTCGTAAGTTCGAAGCAACCCTGATACCATTGACTTGCACTGCGGCTCCACCATTCCTCAAGATCCTCTTCGCTGGCAAGTCCCCGCCTTTAGATCCTGCAAGGCGCGAGGTGCGAAAAGAGTGAATCTCATCCAGGAGACTTTCGTTGACCGAAGAGTTGGGGGTAGGCCTTGGGGGGCTGATTCTGCGAGGACTGGTGTGACACCTTAGGATTGGCATTGCACCTTGTTTCTGTGGAGGCACAACTGAGGCTGGTAGATCCTTCAAACGAAACAAACTGAAAGAAAGAAACGTGATAAATCTGCCATCAGCCAGCGTCAACTTGGAAAAGGATGCATTGCAAGCTGTAGATCTTTCAACCCCTGCTCCTGATGCAGCTTTTGGCCTGCCGAATCTGCTGCAGGGAAATGAATGGAGCGACATACAGCTTTTGGTGCACTTGCTGATTTAAACAAACGGAAGAATCTGCAAAATCTCTTCAACAAGTTGCCAAGGCACGCTGCAGACAATGGCCGCGCTCTCGTTTTGGGTCTTGCCCTGGTGAATTTGAGCAATACTGTGAGATACTGAGATACTGTGAGAATGTCAAAGCATCAGCGCCAAGAAAAAACTAGGTTCGTGTCTCAGTCTTTGCAGGAGACAGGGAAGCGGATCGTCCTGCGGTCCACTGGATTGATTTGGCAGCAAAGAAGTTTGTCAGACCCAAGGCACAATCACTGAACCAATTATTTGCTTGTGTTGATAGTAACACAACGTTCATCTGAGGGCCACATCACATCTGGACTGGCTCTGTGGGTGTATCTCTAGGCTTTCGCAAGACCTTATGGGGACGAAGCATGCTCACGCGTACCTTCCATCATCTTAACCAGGACAGCACTCTTTCAGAACTAAAGCTGGATTGCGGACTAGGCTGGGTAGATTTATCCGACATTGAGAGTTCAAAGAATGAGAGGAGTCACTTGAGTCACTTGTCAGCTTCGTAAGATCTTTGATGGGCGTTGTAAACATCCATTTAATGGGTACAAATTGAATCAAATTGATTTTGTGTCACACACAGTTGCCATCTTGTAGCTGTCCCTGACATGGTTGTAGTTACGGTTGTAGTAATAGCTGTAGTAGCAGTGCCAGTACCAGTAGGAGTAATAGAAGTCGTTATCGTATATTGTGTTTCTTCGTTGTCGAAATCAGGATCTTAAGCTTGGCGTCTTGGGGTAGGCCTTGGGGGGCTGATTCTGCGAGGACTGGTGTGACACCTTAGGATTGGCATTGCACCTTGTTTCTGTGGAGGCACAACTGAGGCTGGTAGATCCTTCAAACGAAACAAACTGAAAGAAAGAAACGTGATAAATCTGCCATCAGCCAGCGTCAACTTGGAAAAGGATGCATTGCAAGCTGTAGATCTTTCAACCCCTGCTCCTGATGCAGCTTTTGGCCTGCCGAATCTGCTGCAGGGAAATGAATGGAGCGACATACAGCTTTTGGTGCACTTGCTGATTTAAACAAACGGGAGAATCTGCAAAATCTCTTCAACAAGTTGCCAAGGCACGCTGCAGACAATGGCCGCGCTCTCGTTTTGGGTCTTGCCCTGGTGAATTTGAGCAATACTCTGAGATACTGAGATACTGTGAGAATGTCAAAGCATCAGCGCCAAGAAAAAACTAGGTTCGTGTCTCAGTCTTTGCAGGAGACAGGGAAGCGGATCGTGCTTGACGGCGTCCTTCGCGACAGCCAGAACAGCATTGGGAATTCAAGGCAAAAAGAGCGCGCGGGTCCAGGCAGGACCTGTAGGTTGAAGACCTGTTCTCTTGATGCAACACCAATGTAGTGTGACAGTGTGAAGCTAGAAGCCCTTTGGTTGCAACCATGCAGTGCGTCCTTCTCCTGCATGCTTTGGCCGAGGAGGCCTCCAGAATTTGGAACGGGAAGCTGATGGTTCTCTCTTTAGATCACTTCTAGGCAAATGATGGCAAATGGCCACAGCAACCTGATTAAACCTCACTGTATCCTTGAATTCGTGTTCACATGATGTCAGAAAGACCCGTCTAGCTGAAGAAAGTTCACACTTGGAAACACATCGCAATTTCTGGCATGGCACGGTGATCGGCTGTCAATTCGTCGTCCATCCGCTCGTGCTTTGGTCCTTGCTTTTGGCCACTCCGTAATCTCCGTAGTGGTAACAACTCGGGAGATGCAAGAATCATGTCATGCTCTTGACGGCTTGGTGTCATTGATAAACCTTGCCATCACTTTGTTTGTCTTCCCACATCGACCCACATCTCTGTCCTCCTCGGGGTTGATGAGGAAGAGGCCACCCGCTCACGGCGCCTTTGACTTGTTCCTCCACATCAAGTGACAGAGTTGGAAAGTATTGAGAACAATCTTAATATAGCGGGGGGGTAGAGGACGCCTAGGAGCAAGGACGCTACTAGGGGCTCCTGGCCGTACTACTAGGAGCAAGGACGCTACTAGGGGCTCCTGGCCTTACTACTAGTAACAAGAAGCTATTAGAAACAAGAACACTAGTGACAGGCAGGCCCCGCGGCCCCACCATCCAAACACAATATAGGCGTATAGGTCTTTCATCCAACACACCTCTCAGGAAACCCAAATCCCGTGAGAGAAACGTATATTGCAGGCACCTCAAAATGCCGCACATGAATCGGAGACATCGCCCACATCTTGCTATCCCATTCCCTCATGGCGGATTTACGACACAGCGCCAGTTGCGAACCGTTACATGACGGTTGCAGTACATACAACTTGTCTCAGGTGTACACGGCTCCACCCTCACGCAACTCTACACAAAAAACCTGAAAGAGAACGGCTGCAAGACCGATCTGTGTTGTGAAAAACCCTTGTCCTTCTTCTGCATTCTTTGGGCGAGGACGCCTCCAGAATCAGGATATGGGAAGCTGATAGTTCTCTCTTTAGATCCCTTCTAGGCAAATGGCCTCAGTAACCTAATTGATTAAACCTCATCTGTAAGTAACCGTCTTCACACTCAGAAAAGATCAAAATGTCTGACATGGCACGGTGATCGGCTGTCACTGCGATCTCGTCGTTCATTCGATCTTGCTTTGGCCCTTGCTTTTGGCCGCGTCCTCGGTGTACCATCTTGGCAAATGCAAGAATCTTGTCATGCTCTTGACGGCTTGCCATCGTGCATCTTCCTACTTTGCACCTTTCTTTTTTGCTTGGTTCCTTCTTTCTTTGGACATGTATGTTAAGTCTATTGGTTCTTTTTGGACATTTCTTTCTTTTTTTGTTTTCCTTCCAGAAGTTGTTGTAACTCAGTTGGATTTGCATTCTCCCCTCCATGCCGACGAGCATCCCTTGTCTCACCCTTTCTCGAGGCGTCCGTGATCGAGATCGTCCTTGGAATCAATCCAGTCTGATGACAATTTGTACTCGTTAAATCTGAGATGTAGCGTCCTTGCTCCTAGTAGTAAGGCCAGGAGCCCCTAGTCCAGACCCAATCTAGTGACGTACTAACCTAGCAAGCAGTATTGGTTCTTGAGGCCCCTGTTTCTGCTATATCAGGGCATTGAAACTTTAAATCATGATACTCAAAAATGTCATCAATTGCTCCAGCTTGGGGTTCCAGCTAGAAGCCGCCGAAGCCCGAACATCTCGGATATCAGGGATCTTTCGAAAGTCGCGGAGGCGCCTTCAAAGATGGCTGAGAATACAGGGGGGTTGGCAAGTGAGATGTTCTTTCAAATGGAAAGGGGTTCAACGTTCTTGTTCGGCTTCTTTCGATTGGTTTCTGTCAAGAAACCGTCGCAATCTTCAAGAAGCCCCGACGTCCGCCTTTGTACGTCTGCCTGGCTGACCGTTCTCGTCGACCCGCTCTTACGTGGAAGACTGCAAGAAGCATGCCTTTCTCGTCGACCTGAAGTAGTTCGGGCATTGGATGGAATTTAGTTCCAATTCCAAAGGCAATGTGTTTCCAAAGCTACTCAATACTCAAAGGACTGCCTTAGGGGCTTAAAGCAAATCCATGCATTTTTGCTCCAGGTATCAGACCTTCTCTCCTCCTGCGAAAAAGGCATTCACTCACCGCACCTCTCCCTTGTGCACCTCCATCTAGCTTGTGCAAAAAGCACTACATCCTTGTGCGCAAGCCTTTCCTCCCGACATCACCCTTGAGAGGAATATGACCAAGCCCTCAGTCCTTGCAAGAGACCGCGACCGACTGCGGCAACCTCAGCTGAAGCGAGATTAGTTGGGCGTTGGAGGCCATCAGGAAGAAAAGCAGGTAGGGGTTCCTATCTCCTCCGGGTACCAGTCTACCTGGTTGTCTCCACCGACAAAGGGAAAGCTTGAGGGAAGCTTGTTTGCTTCGGCCACAACTAACAAAGCTTGCTGTTCAACGATGACTGAGTCTCGAGCTGCCTCGATCTCGCTCTTGTAAGTACCCTCTCCTAGGCTTTGAGCATGGCTCAAAGACGCTCACTACAGTAAACAAAAGAATTCAACTCCAGTCCTGCCAAATTGACTGGATTGTTGGCGTGCTGCATTCCCTGCAGAATGAAAGTCTAAGCAAGGCAACTGCGTGGTTTGGCCAGAAGTACCTTCTTTTGCACGATTGGAGTCATCTTCTTTGTCCTGTCAGGTCAAAAAATCTAGAGCCTCTTTCTCAGAGAACCCCAAATTGGTGGGATTCGTTGTTTCTTCATCTTGCATCAAGCTTGGCATTCCAAAAATGGCTTGACAGACTGGCGCGTTCAGCCTGCTCCAACCTCTCTCGAGCTAAGCTGCAGAATTTCTTTGCTATGTCCGGATCCTCACATGATTAAAATTCTTAGCACGGACAGCAAAGTACTAAACCAGTTGACTGAGATAGTGTCGTTCCTGTCAATCCAGTTCAAGCAAGGTCCTTCTGCACACCCTGGCCCGAGGTGTAAGCAGTGGCCAGTGCAACATAAGCTCGTGCGGGTACCTCCGAAGGCCTCACAGACCAGAATTGTTCTCAAAGAGGCCTTAAGAGGCCTAACATCTTTGTTCATATTTCTTACATCGCTAGTAGGTTGGAGGCCTTAAGAGGCCTTAAGAGAAGCTACGTTCACCCTTTGTTCCATATGTTTCTACATCACCTTAGCTTGACGAGCTCCGCTTCGTCCGAGGAGCTGTTTCGATTTGACGAGCTCCAAGAGCAACTTCACTGACCGAGACTAGGCGAAAACAAGAAATCGCAGGCCGCTCAAAGAGATACAGTAACAGGTGCCACGTTAACAAGTGCCTTACTAGTAGTAACAAGAAGCTATTAATTTAGTTTAATTCTAATAGCTTTTTGTTACTACTAGTAAGGCACTTGTTACTAGTAGTAACAAAAAGCTACTAGTACTAGTAGTCTCATAGGCCCGTGCATGTCTGTGATTTCTTCGGGGTAGGCCGCTCAAAGAGGTAGCTAGTAGCTTATTAAGTAGAACGCTACTAGCTAGGACCCAGGATACTATTCATTTGGTTTCTAGATTCTTAGGAAAACTTAAGCATGCAGCATGCGACGGCATGTGTGTGTGTGTACGCAGCCTATCTGAAACTGGAAATCATGCATTTCTCCAAGCAGCAGGTTGGCCACGTATTGAGGCAATGCCTGATTCCTCAGCTACACATTTTGTAAATGAAGGCCCTAGGCCTGGAACGCAACTTGCACATAGATAACATGTCCTTGAAGATCTAAAAAAGGGTTTTGCTATTTAGCTCCTGGATATTCAACACATTTGTAAATAAACAAGCCGCTCGAAGCTCCAATTCTGTGCTTGAGGCCCGACCTGGAAGCTTTGGGATCTCCAAAGATTGACTCGAAACATACGGAGCCCACAAGTTCCCTTTTTGGGAGCCCCTAGTAGCGTCCTTGCTCCTAGTAGCATGGCCAGGAGCCCCTAGTAGCGTCCTTGGCTCCCCGTAGGAAAGTGACAAATTGTGGAAACTATCTTGTTTCTAGTAGCTTCTTGTTACTACTAGTAAGGCACTTGTTACTACAAGCGATGCACTTGTTCCTAGTAGCTTAATTTCCTAGCAAGGCCTTTGATCTGGGATTGGTCTGCTGACACCCCTGCAACCCGCCATGGGCTAATCCTTGCAAGACTTAGAATGTTACGCCTGTGCAAACAGAACACTCAGCAATGCCGGCATCAAGCTCTCAGCACCCGGCGACAGCCACAGGGGTTGTCATCACCGAGGAAATGGTGCATCTCCTTATTATTACTAGGTAGGAGGCCATCGCTCTTAGGTTGGAGGCCCTCGCCATTCGGTTCCTTTTGCTATCAGGTTCAGATTTGAAATTGGATCTACAAGGTTGATCAGGTCTAATGGACTGCTCATCGGGGATTCTGCCTCTTCGCTGGTCAAAGGTGATCAAAATTTGAGCTTAGGCAGCTTAGGGTTTGAGCATTGCGCTGCCAATCGTTAAACCGCATCCCTTTGAGGCGAGCGACTTCAGCACAAGTCTTGTGGCAAACGTGCTTGCATGGGAGATAGTGCTCATCTCCGCCTCAGCATGGAGCAATAAAGGCTAGAACTCGACTTAATCACACCTTCTCAGACAATCTGAAGTAACACGGACTTGAAAAGGCACTAACTCTCTACGAGCAGAATCCTATTCACCCAGCGCGCTAGCGACTCGAACGCCCACCTTGAAATGGAGCCCCGCACAGTTCACACCGATTGCTGGACATTGGGCGTAACCATGACGTAAGAAAGCACGTGTGTGGACAGCGTGGAACTGCTTCAGTGTGTGCTGCATTTGGTCCGTGGTCTTCTTCAATATTTTGTCATGGCTTGAAGGAATATGCGGTTTTGAGTTGCTGGTTCCAGAAAGCATTGAGAAGTGCCGGCTTCGCTCACATCCATGATGAGTCTTACATGGTCTGTATTCAGCCAAAAAACAGGCTTCAAGAACACAAACATCACTTTCGTATTCCCTTGTTTCAACTAGTTTCAAATAACGATTAAAGGAAGAGCGTTGCAGAATGCAAAGAACAAAGTGGCCATGAGAGTCAGGTCACAGCTGCACCTGCTGCCAAGGCCATCTGCACTTTGCCAATGACCTCGTGAGGCACTTTGCCAGCCTGACCAACGATACCAACGGCCCAAGACTGCTCTCCAGGCAGCTCGGTGCCATGTCGAACTAAATCAAGATCGAACTGCATCGATGGCCAGTTGGGGCAAACAATTCTCCAAAATTGCGCAATCTGAGGAAGTGTGGTGTTGGTGTTGGTGATGTCTTGCGTGGTGATGACCTGCAGGGTGCGTTGTGATGCTGTGAAGTGCAAGAGGTGACAGGTGATGTTGCAAATGTTGAGACCAGCGGGGGTAAACGGAAGCTTGCCCGTAACTGCCAGCTTACCGTTTAACATACCCTTCCTCGATGCCCTACTCACGAAGGTGACTTGTCACCGCTACCTTTCGTGAGGTCAGGTGAAGTCCGCCAGTCCGCCATCTGAAAGTGCAATGTGGTAACCTGCGCGCATCCTTGCTCCTAGTAGCGATGCCAGGAGCCCCTAGTAGCGTCCTTGCTCTGAAAGTGCAATGTGGTAACCTGTAGTGTGAAGATCTGTGAAGTGTCAGTGGTGAAGTGTGAGGCTGTGAAGCGCCTTGGTACGCTGAGTGATGTGGTGATGGGTGACGCCGTGAAGTGCAATCAGCCTACATGGGCCTTCACCGCTGATCTGTTGGAGGCCATCGCTAGTAGGTTCGAGGCCATCGATACTTAGGAGGGAGGCCATTGCTTTGGGTTCGAGGCCTTTCACATGACGGACTGGCCAAGGTTCAATGACCTTTGGTGCCATATCATTTATCTGCACAAGTTTGCTGTCGTCGGGCCCAGGAGCTTTCCAGCTTGCTTTACCGCCAACCCCTTCGCAAATCGGGGCCTTCGCGGGAATCTATGAGGAAAACTAACTCCTTTGGCAATATCTACTTGTCCCGTTTTTCTGCCAGAAGCCACATGAAGCCACTACATTCGATACGTTTCCCGACAAATCTAGACGAATCGGGATGTTTCTGTGCTGTACTTCTTTCTAGAGTCTCGAAGCCTGTTCTTTGCATTTCTCTGCACGCATCTCTACTTTCGCCCGAATTTTTTCCTAGGTCTCGCATCTCTGCTATTGCGATCTTCCCTCTAGAAATCTCTGCTCCAACAACATATGTCTTGAAATCTACACGTTTGGATACTTGTTCCTGGAAACCGCTACTTCTTCGATAAGAAATCTACTCTTAATACTTGTCTCGTCTAGATATGTCTAGGTCATGTGTCTCTAAAGCTATTTCAACATGCGTCTTTCAATTCTCGACTTTAATGTTAAAATGCAAAAAGGAAAGCTCTACTTGTCTGTCGTGCTCTCTACAAACATCCTTACTTTTCTTTAAGCTTCTCTCGAAATCTCTGCTGTCTAGATCGTTTCCTGTACTTTCTAAACATCTGTTCATAGTGCATAACGTTACTCGCTGTTCGACATCTTCACTTGCAGTTTCCCAATGCTTCCCATGTGGACAGCATCAAGAAATGCAGCGCCAGCCCTCACACGTTCTAAAGCATTTTCCTCGAGACAACGCGTTTCAAAGTACTGCAAAGGTCCAAAACTGCAACACAGCGAGGTTCATCAGAACTGGACACGCCGTTTTTTAGACCTAGTTCTTTGGACCTTTGAACCGGATGGTTTATGACTTTGTTCTGACATGGCGCTTCTTGCTCCGTTTGTATTCTTAACATGACACCATACGCAACATTGTGGATCCCTCAGCACAGACGCACGCAAAGAGGAACCCCAACTAACTCGCCATGGCAGGAAGGTGCGCAACACAAACCAACTCGCCAAGACGTCTCTCCTGAACACCATCCCGTTCCCTTCATCACCCGTCGCACACGCACATGCGCAAACACTCTCTGCAGAAACTGTTCATTGAGCCGGAACCTCCAGATTAGCACTTTTTTTGATAAATTGACGCGATGTCAACAACAAGGTTGTAATGTTACCTTGCTTAGAAAAGGTGCGCCAACAAGCTCGTCAGTTCAGAAGAACAAATGCACTTGCATTCTTGACCAAAGCAACGACAAAAAGGTCTTGTTTAATGAATACTAAACCTGTGCCTTGGGAGAGCCATGTGCTGATTTCAGCTTGGCCTTGAAAACAAAAAGTGGGACTCAATCAACCTCGATACCTGTTTAGAAAACTGCCTTTCAAAACTGGCTTTCAGCTTTCTCTATGCACCTCCAATTCATTCTTCTCGGATTCCAATTTCTTGTATGCCTCAGGACACAGTCACAGGATCCTTCCCACCCCCCCAACCGACCTGTACTACAGTGTCAGCATCACCGAAGACCACAGAAAAAGTATTTGTAGACAATGTGTGTAGCTCATAACCCAATGGAACACAGTCTCATGTGGATTCACTCGATTTTCCTGCGCTTCTGTGGTCGTGCCCATCGCGCCCGAAGCAGCGCAAAGCCTGTGGCAGCTCTTAGGGTTGACAAGCCAGTACCTTTGTTAACTTCTGCATTTTGTACTCCGTATTCGTCCTTGATCACGTCGAAGCTTCTTTGGCAGGAACTCAGCTACGCCAAGGTTCTGCTGCAACGCTGCGAGCCAGAACTTTCCTTGCATAGTGTGTGTGTGTGCAGATTGGAGATGCACCGATTCCTAGTGCTTCAGAACTCACAATCCAAGCAACGCTTTTTCTTGAGTTCCTGAGATGTGCAATGAAGAGCAATATTCAGCTGGAGAATCAGCAGAAGCAGACCCTGTTTTCGAGAATCCCACCAAGCGATGCCAAGAGCTAGTAGTAGCTTCTTGTTCCTAGTAGCGATGGCCTCTACGTGCGATGGCCTCCACCAAATAGCGTCCTTGCTACTAATAGCGTCCTTGGAACAAACCCTATTGCGTCCATTCTGAGTTCGATACATCTGAGACAAACCTCGGAGTGGCGGTTCGACGAAGTGGGATCTATCTCTTGCGGATCGGCAAACATGTTCTGCACGAGCTGACAAAGAGCTTACTGCTTCAAAAAAAGGCATCGTAGAACAAGACAGCAAAAATACAGAATTGCTATATGTAATGGCTCAAGTAGCTAGGAGCTTACTCCCTTACTTAATTATGTGGGCACCTACTTAATTAACTAACGAGGCAGGGCCACGGGCTTTAATCAAGAAACGCTTTGAAAAGGCCTTAGGTCTTGGACAAGAACACTCAGAATATATCCTTGCATTCTTGTATTCCTTGTCGGCCTGAAGAGAACTGTTGGTGGGGAAGCCACGGCGCCCGCCTGCGCCTGACCAAAAGGGGCCTATCTTCCTTTGGGGCGAGAACTTTTGGCCTTTGGACATTCAGACTATTCAGACCTTTAAATTAGGCTACTGAGAACAAGAACGCTACTAGGGGCTCCTGGCATCGCTACTAGGAGCAAGGACGCTACTAGGGGCTCCTGGCCTTGCTACTAGGAGCAAGAAGCTACTAGTTGGATTAGGTTGGAGGCCATCACTACTAGTAACAAGAAGCTACTAGGTTGGAGGCCATCACAATTAGGTTGGAGGTCATCGCAATTAGGTCGGAGGCCATCGACCTTTAAATCAAGGATGCTCAAGGATTCCCATGCCGTGTAAGCAAGAAGCTTTGTGGCCGCTGGATTGCTAGCCACTGCTGCCAATGCCACCTGTAGATCTTCCTTTAATTGTGGCGGTGCCCACCTGAGACATAAGCAAGTTTGTTGAAAGTGTTTTTGTGTGTGTGTGTTGCTTTCAATTGCTTTAAAGAGGACATTGACATGCCAAGGGCATGCAAGGTGGACTGCAAACCACTGGTTGGACATGCCAGGCGACTGCAATACAGATCCGCTATTGCGGACAGCTTCCAGCATCACCTACAAACCCAGCATGGAGGATTCGTTAAATGATGTTAAATGCCATTCCGACTCGTGACAATCTGCCATCTATGCCTCTCGGCAGGATCGAAGCTTGCCATCTGCATAAATGATTGCAAAGCCTCGGCTTCACAAATTGGAAAAAAATGCGCCTTCATTCCCAAGATGCCCAGGCACTGCTGGATGATCTGATCTCAAAACACTTTTGGATCACCAAGAGGCCATTGTTGTTGACAGCAGTCAGAACAACCTCTGAGTCTGACTTCAAGTGACCTGCTGGCAAAGCTCACTGCAGCCATTCGTCACATCCCTCCACCGCTCTTCCAGCCTGAGCTGTACTGCAACATGGTGCCTTCATGGCGGACGGCCGCCAAAACGACGTCTTTGTCTTTCTGCATCTCTTCTGATGTGTAGGCCAACCTCGCAGTGAAAAAGCTTGAGAACGTGGGCCTATCATGGTTGGATATGGTTGGCTACATGTGTCAAGTCTTGCGGCCAAGGTACACTGCACTGTTGCTCACTGCAGCCAATACAATTTCACCTTACTAACAGCTGCCGAGGACTTGTGACCCCGGTGCTCCACAAAACTGCTCTGTGACTCTTGCATGCGCTCACGTGCACTGAACTCACGTGCACTTTCACACACACAACTCTTGAATAGGCAAGTCTTACCACAGCACTGATGTGGAAAGTGCCAACTCCTGCAATTTCTTCAGAACTGAGACCCAGACGATCATGCTGCAATTCCTGGGTGATCAGTGTAAACAAGAAGCCGTCGTTGCTGACAGCTGCCAAAGCGACCTGTCGTTCTGCAAACTAGTAGCTTCTTGTTACTAGTAGTAAGGCCAGGAGCTACTAGTAGCTTCTTGCTCCTAGTAGCGATGCCCTTTGCTCCTAGTAGCGTCCTTGTTACTAGTAGAAAATGAAAAGAAATGAAAGGCGCTGTATGGCGCCTCTCTGTCAGCCTTGACTTCTTCCGGCAGGCTCTTGAAAATGCCGGGGCTCTGCTTTACAGCAGCCAAAGCAACGACCCGATTCTTCTTGAGTACAGGAGGTAAATGTTGAAAAGCGGTAAAGTCAGAAGCAACAGCCGCCAAGGCCACTTCTAGGTCACACTTCCTTGGTTGAAGAACAGCAATAGAATTTTGCAAGCAGGGAGGCCATTGCTCTTGGGGTGGAGGCCATCGCTACTAGGTTTGCCAATTAGCAACGGTATGTGCAGGACAGCGTCAAAACCTGGAGTAGCGTCTAAGGGATCTGCGTCGAAGCTCAGATCAGCTTCTTGTTACTACTAGTAAGGCACCTGTTACTAGAAGCGATGCACTTGTTACTACTAGTAAGGCACGTGTACTAATAAGTCTCATGGATCTCCCTGTTTTTTCCGGTGATTAAGTTCTTAGGGCCGGAACTACAAGCCTTAACAAAGTGTCTGTGGCTCTGGAATTGCCTCTGGTGTGCCTACCCGGCTTTCTGCCCTTCTCTTGAGCTAAGTTCCTTTTGTGTTCTAATTGTCACCTTCACATGAAAGAAAGCCCATTGAAGGGTTAAGTTCTCACTATTTCACTAGTCTCTCGTGTTTACTGCTTGGCGAGGCACAATCTTTCGTCTTGGACGAACTTCAAAGCCTAGCCAGATCAGCGTGGATAACACCAATGAAGCAGTAGCAAGAAGTTTCGAAAGCGCTTTGGCAAACTTGGAAGTCAAATCCAAGACTTCAGGCGAGCCTAGTCATCCTAGTCCTAAGCATGCCGGCTCAAAACTCTCCGTCCAACGACCAGTGATGCTGAGGGACCTTCTTGGTTTGTTTGCAACAGGATACACCTTTAGTGGTTAGCGGTGGCCTAACAGTGCATTCTCCTGTGCTGTCCATAGTTTGTACTTGTTAGCCTGGCACTTGAGCATGTTTCCCTTGAGTTCTTTTTCCCAGCCATGCCCATCGGCAGTTGATTGCTTTGGCCCTCGAATGCCTTTTCAATGCTTTGCCAGTCAGCAAGTTGCATACGAGTGCTTCTTCAAGCTTGGTACTGGACCAGCTTTTTGCAGTACTTATTATGTTTGCTTGGGGTCGCTGACTTGTGAGCTTCACCTAACATAATGGGATCTGTGTTGTTGAGCATGGGCCCTAAGTGTCAATTCGTTCATTTGACGTTTTCTGCTGGGACTAATGTGCAAACGGCAGAGGAGCTTGACGCACCCATGTCCTGTTCTGAATCATTAAAGTTCGCCTGTGGAATGCGGGTCTGCTCGTTCCAAGATGTTCACAGCCAAGTATTGAGTCCTGCCTTCGGTCAATGCGGCTTGGTGCCCATTGTAATTCTCGGGTCTAGTAAGGCCAGGAGCTACTAGTAGCGTTCTTGTTCCTAGTAGCGATGCCCTTTGCTCCTAGTAGCATCCTTGCTGCATGGCCTAGTATGTAGTATGGCCTAGTGGATTCGGTGTCGTCCCAGGTTGAAGCCTTTGGGCGCACCACTAGGCGGACAGGTGGGCACGACTCCAACACTGCACCGGTCAGGCTCCGAGGTGAGCTACGGTGTGGTAGCCCCTTTCCCGCCACCTGTCCTAGGGGGTCTCTTCTGCACCGAAAGCGGGGAGCCTGGTACTAGGGGGGTAGCAGTTAGAAGAGAATTGTTTTCTTTTGGTATTTCTTTTTACACATGCTGACCATTCCTTTCTTTATTTCTTAGTGACCGGCTAAGACCGAATCGACCTTTTGGATCTTTTTGGTAGCAAGGATTCGCAAGCTACTAGTATTGCTACTAGTAGCTAGAGGCTATTAGTAACACTAGTATTCAGACTCTGCTTCTCTTCTTTTTGAGGACTCAATCGACTTCGTGTCAAAGAAAACTTGCCGAAGCCTGACCACAGCTGCGGACAGCTGCCAGAACGACTTCACGATCTTTCCGGAACGTAGGCAAGACATACCTGGAAAAGGCACAAACGAAAACTACATCGAACTAGTTGAATCTCTGTGCAATTCAAAGTAATGAGAGATGCAGAATGGCTTCCGACAAATCAGTCTTCGATGTGGATACAGTATACGTATTGACATTGACCTATGTTTCGATGTTTCCGCCCTAGCTGCAAAAAGCGTGAGAAAGCTACTGCCTTTTGCAGTTCTAACCTTTATCCTTATCTTTGACCTTTCTTGAACCATCGGGTTCTTTGCTTTTCTTGTCTGATCTGATTCTCCTGGGTCTTACTTAGGGAACGGATTGCGAAGCTCGACGTGCCACTTCAACATGTTTGCGCCAGGAAGTCGGCCTCAAAGCTGCACCACTGCTGTGCACAGCAGCCAAAGCAATTTCACGGTCCTGAAAGGTTCCAAGCCGAAGCCCTAAACCAAAGCAATCGAAGTAAATACAAATAGGAAAGGATTTAATAGCATGGCCTCCAACCTACAAGCGATGGCCTCCAGGAAGTTTTCTGGATGTCTAGTCATTTTCACGGTCGTGAATACAACTAGGCACAGAGACTGGACATGAGTGAGTACCCGCTTCAGCCCGCTTCTAACAAGAATGCTCGATGTCTTTCAAGGCGTTCTTTACATGGAATCATCGCTACGAGATTTTTGGCCATCGCCAGTAGGTTGGAGGCCATCGCTCTTAGGTTGGAGGCCATTCCTAGTAGGTTCCCTTTGAATCTTGAACTTCGTGTCGCTTCATGTCCTCTGCTAGGCAGCTTCCAACATATTGCACAGCCGAGCCATTGGTTTTCACGGCACACAGGGCCACCTGTCCGACGGAAGGAAGACGGAAAGCATATGAAAGCATCAGTGAAATCAAGCCACCAACCCAGAAGCTACTAGGACCTACTAGGAACAATGTTCGCTACTAGGGGCTCCTGGCATCGCTACTAGGAGCAAGGACGCTACTAGGAGCGTTCTAACGATCAAGGGTGCTTTCTCAAAGGCTTCAGGACTTCACCCCTATTGGTGCCCCTTGGATTTGTCAAGGAAATCCTAGTAGCTTCTTGTTACTACTAGTAAGGCACTTGTTACTAGAAGCGATGCACTTGTTTCTAGTAGCTTCTTGCTGCTAGTTGTATCATTTGTTTCTCAGCAAATCATGTTCCTGCTCATACATGGCTTTTGGAAAGAACCTCTCGGTCTGCCCGCAGGGAATCACAAGCATTTCGCAAGGCAAAGCCATCATTGCTGACAGCTGCCAACACCTCATGTTGTTGAAAAATTGTGTTCATCCTTGTGAGTTTGACTGCTCATACTGATAGTATCATACAATATGTCCATTGAGCTTTGAGCAAGCTCTTGAATGCGAGACATGGTTTGAATCATGTGCCAAGAGACTATGTCACGATCCGCCTGCCACTGGCGAAGGACCAAATCCAAGACTTATATACACTTTGCAAGATCTTTATCTTGCAATCACTAGACCTAACTTCTTGGAGCACTGAATAGAACTTTCACCCTATGACTCTATTAAGTCTCTCTATAATTCTGTTTTACTCTTCTGTTTTTTTTGTGCTTAGTTACCTTGTCTCCGGGCCTTGAAGGAAGGTTCCAAGTACCGCAGCACGAAGCCGCGGTCACTGACTGACGCAAGGGCAATCTCCCGATCTTTGCGCAAATCTGGATGGGCATGGACCAGTGCAAAGCCATTGTGTTTCACCTTGAGTTTCAAAGGCATCCCGCTACCCTGTCCCAAGTTTGCGCCCAGAATTTGAACCCATACGACTTGCACACACAGGTATAGACCCCAGATAGCAACTAACTCTAAAAACAGAAGCACCTGAGAAAAAGGAATCACGTACTTGATTAAGTCACACCAAAAAAAAAAAAGAGCTTCCCATGACTGCGAGTGTGCCCAACAAAACGCGGGGAGACTCACGTATCGAAACGCGCTGAATAAAAAATGTTGTTCCAACATATGTGTTGCCCCGATGAAAATATGATGTTGCATCAAACCGATTGCAAAGGTATACGAGTACAAAGAGTATACGCGCAAACAGTACAACAGGATGTTGCGCGTACACATCATATATATGCACACAAATATGTGCTCACACACTACGGTTTCTGGGTTTCGCAAGCATCACGCGCAAGCGTTCAAACATAGCAAAAGCGACGCAAAGCCCCAGACTCTCCGAAACACAACACGGTACCACTTTGGAGGTTCCCACGTTCTCAAGCAGCCTGTTCCTGAGACTCACCTTTCAAAATAAAGCTGCTGCTCCAGCATATGCAGTCCCGGATCAAAACAATATGTTGTTGCGCGCGCACAAAAAACAGTAGAACATGATGTTGCGTTTATACATTATACGAGTACAAAAATATAAGCTTGAACACAAACCATTCAAGCCAGACTATTGGAAAGACAACGGCGCCCACCACCAGCGGCCTCACCAGCACCGTGTCTCCACAACGTGCACAGCCAGATCACAGCTCTAGACCTTTAGATGATCCTCTATACCTCTGAATCTCTAGACCTCTAGAACTCTTGATCTGTCTGGACCTCCAGAGCTCATCAGAGCTCTAGATCTCCTAGACCTCAACCTCTACATCTCTAGAGACTTAGAGGCGTCATATCTCTGGATCTCAAGACCTCTGGACCTCTAGACACAGACACACTGTTTGGTGTCTCTTGCCGGGACAATGGTTGTGGGGTTTTGCCATGCTACTGCAGCCAGAACAATATCGCGATCTTTGCGGAGATCATCCGAGAGCATCTCCAGGCCTGCATCCGGAAATTGGCTGTTGCAAATAAACTAGATCTCGGGGCATCGAACAACCAATCTGTCATAAGGGTGGCACTCACAAGGAATCAATATACAATAAGGGATGCCGAGAGGCACAGTCCGTTGTTACGAACGTCATGCAAGGCTTGAGCACGTCTTGGATCCACACGAAAGAGTGAAAGCTCCAAGGAGTGAGGCGCAGCCCTCAGCTACGCTCTTTCACACTGCCTCCAAGCTCCTAGCGATGGTCTCCTTCAACGCTCTTTCACACTGATCTCAATTGATCTCAAAACTGTGTTGGTGCAAAAACTGCTAGAATCAGCGATTGGACTCGTCTTGAAGCTTAAAGACATATGTTCCATTTGGGGTCACAAGATGGTGCCAAGAGACCCATCGACATCCGCATCCAAACTACCTAGCTCCACCGTATCTTCTACTTCTTCACCACAATGCACCAACTTCTGTTCGATGCATGAGATGCCCAACAGGGACCAAATCTCCGCTTTCACATCCTAGGCAAGGACGCTACTAGGGGCTCCTGGCCTTACTACTAGGAGCAAGAACGCTACTGCCTAGGTTCCAGATTGTCTCGAGGAAACTTGAATTCTTTTCTGTGCCGAGAATCCCCAACACTGCATGTCTTGGAACAGCTCAAAGCGCAAACGAAGCCAGAAAGACCATTAATGATGAGCTCCATTCAGTACCTTTTCCTTCTGAAAATATCGTCACTTTCAGCACCTCATCCTGCAGCAGTCACTTGAACAGTGCCCTGTCCGCCAGGTCTTTTGAAGCCGACAAATCTCACCATGTTGCGCGAAGCTTGGCGGGGTTGTTCTGAAGGTCACGCATTGAATTGGTGGATACTGACAAACCTGCAAGAGGCCCTCAGGCTTTATTGCTAATATGATCCCACGTCTGGAGCCATTGCTGCAATTCTGGTTTCCGCTGTGGCTTCAGATTCATCATGTCTTTCTTTTAGTGAAAGGCCTCCAATATGTGACGAGCTTTGCTGAAGCTTTGCTGAGCTCAAAGCAGTGGCAAGTTGTTTTAGTTTCTTCACCTGTTCCTGAGTAGAACGGGGATTCAGTCTCAACTGAAACATAATCAAACGATATTTGCTACTACGTTCTTTAGACCTCTGTACCTTTCTGTTTGCCCTTCTTCTTGTCTTACTCAAGGATCCGATCGCCTTACTTAAGCCATCTTGTGCCTCACACACCTCACTAAATGACTGGTGTCCTTGGTCTTCTCCTCGGCCGCCTCAAGCTCCTTGCACCAGAAGCCGACTCTTGCTCAGAACTGCTCTGTAACCCCTAAAGACCAGTCTTGAAATGGCAAGGAAAAGCATTCTGCTTGACATTGCACATCTAAGTGAAAGAAAATGTTTTTTGGAAGTGCAGTGCGGGGTTCAGTAGAGAGGGCAACCCACAACCATTAGAAGGCTCTGTTTGATTCTAACCTATCGATGATGACACTGGCACCGTGTTGGTACCAGCTCCTAGAATGTAATCTATCTTTGTACAACTCTCCCCAACTTTGGGGAAGCAGCTTCCAGCTCCAGAAATCAAGCCCTAGAAATCAGGGGCTGAGTCAGGGTCATCTTCGTCCTCCAAAGCAAGGACAAGGTGTATATATACTCATCTGTACTCAAAAAACATCTTTGTTTCTAATAGTGAAGGCCTCCAACCTAAGAGCGATGGCCTCCAACCTACTAGCGAGGGTCACACCTTCAGAAAGTATCTCAAAGTATGGCCTGACCATAAAGCCACATTCAATGCCCCCCTCGAGTCCTGGGCCGGACCATCGATGAGTTCGTTCACGATCAGCGCCACAAAGTTGCGTAAGGGCAAAGTCACTTCATCTGCGTGCCTTGGGACCAGAATCACCACAGAACTCTACAAGAACAAAAACAAAGTAACATGTTTCAGTCAGCATAAAAGCAGAGCTATAAAAAGAAGACCTCTAATATCACGCACAAATGCCACTGAGTATGTACATCCTCTGGCAGCCAATGCTCCCTGGCAGGCTTGGAAGCCTTGGCTGTCTTTGCATACCAAACCAACATCTGACCAAGGCAGGCTTTTGAAGCTAGGACCGCTAGGAATAGAAAAGAAAAGCGAGCTGAGGAAGTGCCGCCAAGCGTCATTGGCCAGAAAATATGCAATATAGGGATGCAAAAAGTTTGATTTGTGCGCCCGATGTGCTTCCACAGCCCCAACGCGAGCACTTGACAGCACGACTGGACCATGAAAGTGCTCGTTGTATCCTGGGCACGGGACCCAATTGCACGACAGTAGGCAATCACAGTGCCCGGATCGCAAACGCTCCATTTGCTCTCAACTGTCATGTCAGTTTGTCTTCATTTGTCAAGCCAATGAGGCAAAGACGGAAGACCCAAGTGAGTCTGGCCGTGGCAGCATAGCGATGGTGGAAATCTTCAAGCGGAACCTACAACTTGCTTCTTAACTTGAAGACAGGAAAGGAAACCATTCTCAAAAAAAAGATAGCAAGGAAAGGAAAAGAGAAGACAGATGTTATTGTTGCAAAAACGAAATGTGTGTAAAAGCGCAGATCAGCACCTCCAGAAGGTAGCGAGCGTTCCAGGCCTCAGAGCCAGCCACTTGCCTTTTATGTTTTGATCTCGTAAGTTATTAAGACCTACCTGCTTTCCTTTGTACTATCTAAAAAGCGATGGCCTCCACCTGAAGACGTGAACAACGCATTCAATCCGTTCAAAGATATATACTAAAGTGTGTCAAGCATGTGTGTTGAAATGTGTTGAACATCTCTGTCAAACCTTGAGATTAGTTGAAAGCTGGTGGGAGTTGCTTTTCGGAGCACTTTACTCACACAGAGCTCAGCCTTCCTGCCTCAGTAGAGCTATTCTTCTCGAAGAGGACCATGTCGCCCAGGAACTCAAACATTTGGTAAGGCCCAGAAGCCTGGTGTCAGATGAACCCGACACTGGTGTGACCCTGTTTTTTCAAGCAGCCGCTCGCCGAATCGCACCCTCTCTCCAAGTCTCTCCCACCTCATTAATCCGGTCCAAAAGTTCTTGTGCCAGGTGTGCCACTCCCGAGCCAGGCTCGGACGGAGTCTTCTCGCAAAGCCACGGCACCGACTCATGGACCTGAGCAAGTCGAAGCGGGCTGGTGTGGCACAGCAGGCTGCACGGCAGGCGTCAGCTCGGCTGAGGTGTGTGGGACTAAGGGACACACCGGTGAGGTCAACTCTTCAACTCGATCCAGCACGAAAGAGATCTGTGGCCATGCGGCACCAAAGTTTTTCTCTTCCAGCAAATGAAAAAGAGTCCGAGTGGTGTATCCTCAGTTGGAGTTTCCGGCAGAATGCCTTGATTGTTCTAAGTAAGGAAAGAAGATCAATTTCAAGTCTGCAAATTCCCAGTGATTTGGAAACTAGTAGGTTGGAGGCCATTTGCTATTAGGTTGGAGGCAATTCCTATTAAGTTCTTTCTTCAAAGTTATTGCAGTTTCAATGTGCACGCAAGATGCGGAAACCATGGATGAAGCCACCAGCGGACTTTCGAAAATCCAGGCTATGACTGATGGTTCCAGCTGCATAAAGTCCCGGAATTCCAGAGACTTGAAAGGTGGTGGAGATGTTCGGATATTTTCCATGTTCAAGCATCTCCTTGGAAATTCACAGAGCTACAGAGCTAATAGGTTGGAGGCCATCGCTATAGTTAAGTTTCCCAAAAGATCTAGGAACCAAATCATTAGTGCAAGCGTGAGCTATCCTGCGTCCATGCTAGTAGCGTACTAGTAAGGTACTAGCTACCTCTCCCTTAATTAAGTAGGCGCCTGCTTAATTGCTAGTAGGTTGGAAAATTCACAGAGCTTGCCACTCTGTCGCTCAGCTTGTTGACTGCCGAGAAGCTGGCTTGGTGGAGAGGTCTAGGAAACTTGTATCCATCGTCCAGCCAAAGCAGCGGATGACGTGATCCACCGGAAAGCGGGTGTGTTTGGCAGCATACTTCATGCGGAAGTCTGCCATGGCATCCATCAGTTCAGGCTTTTCTCTCAGGAGTCTTGAATTGACCAGAACCCACGTGAAGGATCCTTCAAACACACTCGGATCGATCGTCTCCGGAACTGCAGATGTGGCAAAATAGCTTTCCACCTTTGGCTCAACATCCTCCGCAACGTCCAAGACCCTTAGCTGTTCCAACCCTGTATTCAGGCAAAATCAAGCAAGGCGACATGACACGAGGTGAAAGTATATAATAGAAAAACAAGTGAAGTGCGGCCGCAGCACCAACCATGGCCTTCCTCATCTGGAGCCAGGCGCTCCAAGGTTTCACGCACGCGTGGCTCGTGCTGAGATGCAATGCCTAGGGCATGGACCAACTCAAGATGCGTGGCATTGCAGGAGTGCATGCGAGATGCAAAGAGCATGCAAAGAGCCTGCGACATGCTTGCCCCTATTAAACTATTAATCATAATCAGTCTTGAGTCTTGAGGTCACAGAAGCCAATAAGAGTGTCCCATCCAAGCTACGTCCCATGTAGAGCATGAGACTCATGTTTTGTTCGTCCGAGTAAAAGTGCTTTCGACCTTGCAGCATGCGTAAATCTCTCTCTCTCTTTCTTTCTCTCAAGTCAGGCAGAAAAATTTGGTGACCCAAAAACACAACGATCACTACTATGCTTACAAGTTGTAAAATATGCTAAACGCCTTTGCATGTCAAACGAGTTCAAAAGCTGCTCTTGTCCCTCAGCTTGTGGCATCGTTCGTCGGCACACACATCGTCAGTCGCCACCCAAACGCATCTGCGGTTGCCCTTGCAAGGAAGGACAATCACTCTGTGGTCCTTGCAAAAGGCAACACGCTGCCTTTGACTTAATGTTCATGCGTGGTAAACGTCTAAATGTCTAAATGTCCTGAAGAGCATCAAAGTCAAAGACATCCAAGCTCTTCAATAAGTAGGTGTCGAGTATAGAAGTCCGACCAGCTCGAATGTCACCCACCTTGGTACAGCAAAGGCAAACGGACCGACTCCCGCAGAAATTCTCTTGAACCAAACAGGATAAAATGTGCATAAAATATGTTCCGATTTTTTCTTGGACTTACCAAGGCACATAGTGCGTCTGGTATGCAAAGCGTACCCCTTCACCACCTTCCGGCAAAGGCCGTGGACGTGCCAAGACATGCACCTGCACCACACGGATTCATACTAGTTACTACCTACTACCTACTATACCACCTCTGCCTTTCTACTACACTGGTACACTAGTCTAGTACACTAGCACTACTAATACTATTACTACTATTCTTTTCTACTACTACTACTACTACTACTACTACTACTACTACTACTACTACCACCTGTCACTACTACACCTGTTGAATTCTATTACTACTACTCCTCCTGCCGCAGTTTTAGATTTGTCCCGTCTTTTGCCTTCCTTCCGTCTTTCTTGCTTTTCTGTTTCTTCAGACCTTTAAGACCTGTCTTTAGGAACAAGGACGCTACTAGGGGCTAGTAGAAACAATATTAACTATTTTAGAATTTAAATGGAATCAAATTAAAGTTAAGTGTAATTACTTCTAATAGCTTCTTGTTACTACTAGTAAGGCACTTGTTACTGGAAGCTTATTGTTACTAATTTTACTTTGATTCTAATTACACTTAATTCTACTAGTAACAAGTGCATCGCTTCGAGTAACAAGTGCCTTACTAGTAGTAACAAGAAGCTATTAGAATCAAATTAAGATTAGTAAAGAAGGTTTTCTTCAGACCTTTAAGACCTGTCTTTCCTTTTTCCCTTTTCCTTCCTTCTTTTTTATGTTTGTCCCACAAGCCGGTCTGTGCACATGAATGGCACAGTCTTTGCCTCAGCGGTATACTTTTGGAGTTCCTGGGCCGCTTCCAAGGCCTTACATCTGAAAAAAACTGCGCAGGTTCAAATTGAAATTACTAGCTTCTTGTCACTACTAGTAAGGCACTTGTTACTAGAAGCGATGCACTTGTTACTAGTAGCTTCCTGTTTCTAGTAGTAAGGCCAGGAGTCCCTAGTAGCTTCTTGTTACTACCAGTAAGGCCCTTGTTACTACTAGCGATGCACTTGTAATTACTAGCTTCTTCTCTTCCTCGTTTTCGGAAGAACATGTTGACACTATCTCAGCAAAGAGGCTGCATTCCCCATGCCCAGGATCATGACGGACTTCCCTTCAAATGATTCTCCAGTAGCCGGCATGTCCTCGTAGCCTCAACAAGGGACTTGAAAGCCTCTTGGCCCCAAGAAGTTGACCCAATCAACAAAACACCAAAGCACATGGGCATGAGTCCACTCCACGAGGGTTTTGTGAAGGTTTGCTGTCCACTCAAATATAGACATGGCACGGTCCACCAAATCGAGTCCATCCTTGAGAGCAAAGTCAAGTCATTGGGAAGTGGACCAAGTCCAAGAACCTACTAGCAGTGGCCTCCAACCTACTAAACTAGCGATGGCCTCCAACCTAATAGCAATCTCTCATGAGTTTAAAGGAAGCATCCAAAAAAAGATGCACGTTTCTTGCTCGGCCGCTTGGCGAAGTGAAGACAAGAGTCAATCATCTGTTGGCCTTGCCTAGGCACAGTCAATCCGTGTGCCAAAATCACCTCACCGCACTGGGTCATGTCTCCACCCTCCAGCTTGATGGTGAACACCTCCCATGACATGACACCGAGAGAAAGAGCGAATGTCTAGAAAGTGGATCAGCAGATTGGAATCGAAGTACAGACAAAGGTAGAGCCTTCCATCTGTCGCATATACTATTTTCACCCTGGCCTGGCCAGGACTGAGTTCTTGACGGCTAACTTTGACCACCTGAAGATCCAAAAAATGCTCATTTACATTCATGGTTAGCACGCTCTCTCATAACTAAAAGCAGCAGGAGGACCTCCGAGTTGTAGCGGATGAAATCTCGCTGTTCTTCAGCAAACTCTCGCAAGTACCCCACAAGTACATCTGCATGTGGGAAGAGCTCTGAAGATCTCTGAGTCCTGAAGTGCTACCACGCTAGCACAATCTGGATAGAAAGAGCAAGACAAACCAAACAAACAGTGGGAATTTGAGCCTAAGAAGCGGAAAAAAGGTACCATTGATTCCACCACCCGTCAGCGGACCCCAAAACCTTCAGCCCTCAAGCTCACTTCCCAAATTCCCAGAGATCAGCCTGAAGCTTTCCTTTCGCCAGACTTCGAAGACAACATAGCGAACGTAAAAGGCAAACATTTTGCTCCTAACGCTACTACCTCTGCGAGTTTTAGAAAGTGTTCAGTCACCAGTAAAACCCTCTAGTGTTGACCCTTTTTGGGGAGTATTTAAGGGGTGTTGTGCCAATAAGCGTTTCATAGTCGAAGCGAACACTCGAATGACCTGATTGAGCAACATGTGTTTTTGCATTCACGTCATTGGCACAAATTCGCACAAATGCAGCTGATTGCCGGGCACAAGCCCTTGAGAACGTCGAATTTGCTGAGAACGTCGATGTTGTTAAGATTTTGTGACATATTCAATTCTTCCTGTGATTATATAAATTGAAGCGAGAATCACTGGCTGAGTACGATTCTCACGAAGATCAATCAAAGAGTTCCAATCATGACGGAAGGCAAAATCAGCAGCTCGCCCTTCTCTGACAAAGCGTTTGTTCAACGATATCAGCTTTCTGTGCCGCGGAAACTTCTCGAAGAAACTTCCCGCATTGCTGTTTCTCTCGAAGATTATGTAATCTCTGCCTGGAAGCAACACTGCCAGCACAAATGAAAACTGGTCTGCCTCAAGTCAAAATTCACCCAAAAAAAAAGCCTGCATGAAATAGGAAGTGCCCAAGCTGAATGCCAGCTGGGCCAGCACCAACGATGCAGTAGCCTCAGCATCACAAGCTCAGAAGCGCGAAGTGCGATGCTGTCGGGCATGAGGCTGCAAATCAACAAGGCTAGTTGAGCACAGAAAAGCGCTTGGGAAGGATTTGCAACTTCCAAAAACAGCGCTTCTCTGCAACAGGAGTCTTCAGGTGCTCACTATATGTCTTCTGTGGGTTTTTGCTCCCAGCACTCAACCATGTCAGCAGGAGCAAAAGCAAGGCTGCCATGGCAAAATTGAGCAGTCATCTGGCAATAGGAAAGTAGTGTTCATGAAAATGTGGCTGTCAACAATGTCTTGTGTTGATATGGACGCGTGCGCAATATCATGAGCAGTATCTAAGTGCTTGTCGGTGGTCACAGATTCCAACAGCATTTCTTGATGTGTACTCTGTGCACTCTTGAAACATGTCAAGTCTGTCAAGTGTTCTCTTGAAACATAAACAAATGAAGAAGAAGTAGAGAAGAAAGTTCCTGGTCCTAAGGAAAAGGAAGAAAACTTATATAATACTAAGAATCAACAAAGGTCAACGCGGCTTCAACGGGAGTCTCAACCAATGTTTTCTGTCCAATTCAGTCTTGGATGGCACCTTTGACATCCCTACACTACTCATTTCTCATGTCATTTCCCTCAACATTCAGGAAGCATGTCTTACACCGAAGATTCCATAGGCTTCCTGTATGTCTGTTGTCCTTTTGGAAGTGCACCTCTACCTGCAAAACAAAGAATCAGTGCTTGGCCCTTGCTTAGCCAGGCTGTTTGCACTGGCACCTCTTAGCCGTTCCCTCCCATCCCCAGACGTTCCGAACAAATCCCCCCACACTCCCCAGTCAAACCAAAAGGAAATCGAATCCATCATCCCCTGTCCTTCCGGAGCGATGCCTCCGAGCCCCTGAGCACAAGAAAAGGTTTTGAACGACATGTCTCAAACGTCCAACGTTCCGTTCGTAGCGATGCCAGGAGCTCCATTCGTAGCGTCCTTGTTACTAGTAGCGATGTTCCTACTAATTATTTGTTACGTGAAGTAATTACTTGCTACTAGTAGCTTCTAGCTACTAGTAGCGATGCCCTTGTTACTATATAGTAGCTTCTAGAAGAAGAAGACCCAAATTCGAATTAGGGTCAACTCCAAGACATGGCGTTTGTGTTCCTTTTGGAACTGAGCTAAGTCTTGTGTGACAGGCCTGGGTGAAGAGGGTGAAGAGGGTGAAGAGCCAGCCTGAAGACTCATTTGGGAAACTGAAACTACCCGTGCCAGAGTCCCTGAGCCTTAAGATTTGTGAGCTCAAAATCTAAGCATGTTTGAGGCCATCGCTATTAGTCAAGTTTCCCCAAAACTCTTGGAACCAAATGAATAGTACGAGCGCTTCTTCAAGGAAGCGTGAGCTATCCTGCGTCCTGTCGGTAGTAGCTTACTTGCAGCTACTAGCGACTCCCTAGCTCCTACTAGCTACCTACCTCTAGCTACTTACCTCTTCCCTCTCCACCTCCACACCCTCCCCTCCAAACGAAAATGGAAATATTATTTATACATATACATATATTCCTATTGGAACAGCAGAAATGCCTGGCCAGCTTTGAGGAGTTCCAGTTCCCTCCTCAGCACAGCATGTTACACGTTCAAAATTGTCAGATCATCCCTGGTCAAAACTAAAAGATGATAATATGTTTGGCTGGCTGGAAGAGAACAAAACAAGAGACCACTTCCATCTAATTGATATATATATATATACTGTGTATATATATATATATACGTAAGCGGGCCTACAAAGGAATACTGCGTCAAACAGGAACTATTGCACAGTAGTACCAACTCCATGGACAAGATTCGTTTGCTTCTTCACCCGCTGCTCCAATTCGAATCGGGTCTGGTCCTGAGAACGAAACAGAAACGCCTATGCTGCCTTTCTGCCTTTCCAAAAGACATGGTCTTTGTGTCATCAAGAAGGCCATGGTCGTTGTCCTCGTAACTGCCGGGTCTGCCAGAAAGCTCTGCAGCCAATTGTGCCACATCCTAGGCCAATTTGTAATCTCACAACTCTTCTGAGAGACAACTTGTTGGAAAGCGTCACACCTTATGTTTTGTGACTAGTTGTCCTGGCATGGTTAAGAGACATGGAAAAGACCTCAAACACAAAGAAAATTCCAGTAGTAAGTAGGCGGTGGTAGAAAAAGAAAAACGATATTAAAAGATACTAAAAGACACGTTTCAACGCGACTCTTTCGGTAGTGTTTGACTCTCCACGTCCCGATCCCAATGTTTCGCACCTTCTCCCAGCGTTCATGCAGCTGAACAAGCTCGGCGTGATCCTCCGCTGCATCCTCTTCTGTTGGCCTTGGATCAATGCCAAGACAGCATGAAAAAGCAAGATGCTGGCCCGTCAAAAAGAAGACTCAAAGCGGCTCTAAGACTAGCTGACAAGTACATTCGGCCGCTAAGCTCTAAGAAAATCCTTCAGGCAAACTGTAGCAAATACACGTCCTTTCCAACAGTTCCTTGAGTCAGCTGAGCTCGCAGCAGGCTCCGCAGTTCCTCCGGAAGAGATAGGTTTGGCGACTTGGACTGAAACCAGGCAGCTTGATCTCTGAGCCGTTGCGCCACAGATTGCATATGTGCCAATTTCTTCCGCGTCTTTTGAAGTTCGCCTTGATGAATCCAAATGAGGCAACGTAGGGGGAGCTAGTAGCTTAAGTAGCTACTACCTACAGGTAGCTACTAGTATGGACGCACGATAGCTCACGCTGGCACTAATGATTTGGTTCCTAGATTTTTAGGGAAATTTGACACTACTAATCATTACTAATGGTCTTCAGACTAGAAGACGGTAGGAGGAAAAAGGCTCTGCTTCCCGCCTCTGACGAGAGCAGTCTGTGACCTATTCACTTGTTGGAAGCTCTGCAGCTTCTGCGAGGTCTTTGCTTCATCCACTTTGGCCTTCTCCAAATTCTCTTCCAAGGTCTTCACCTTCAACTGCGCCGCATCCTGCCACATCTACACAAAGAAGAGCACAGAAAACAAGGAATCGCATCAATAGAAATTTGATGTTCTCTCCTTCGTCTTTGCTTTGTCTTTACATCTTCTACTCTACTATTTACATGACACTCTGACATATTTTCGCAGATGACACCACATATTGACTGTCCAGCTGTTCGGCAAGATGGCCGCATTTCTCTTCGAGCTCCGGGTAGAGCCCTGCATTGTTTTCAATCTCGTCAAAGCCCAAATCCATCATCTGCTGCTTCGAATTCACAGGCGGCACTCGTTCGGCCATCGTTGGGTCATAGACCTTCGGCTTCTGGAAAAGCTTCTCTGCCATGGGTGCTGAGCCGACTCGGTGGGTTTCCCAGCCAGTCAAAGCTCAGTTTGGGCAAGAGCAGGTCCTAGATGTAATTTATGTAAACATAATTAAACTATATTCTTTAAGCTGCACACTAGTGTCACTAGTTTGTTGTGGCACACGACATGCAGGTGTTTTCATCGATTAGTTTCGTTCGCCTCAGCTGACTTGGCATGGCGCTTTTCAGCGCCCAAAAGCGGCCTACGTGCCGAAATGCTGAAGGATGGAAGGTGCTCGCCTGCATGGCTCTGGTGCTTAATTAGAATTCAATTTAATTCTAATAGCTGTTTGTTACTACTAGTAAGGCACTTTTTACTACCAGAATTTAATTAGAATCAAATTACTCAAAAAACTGCTCTGCCTGTCGCACATCTTTGCTATGTGCAAAAGCTCCCAAATCATTGAAAACCCACGTGCAAGCTGCGCAGGCAATAAGCTTTTCTCAGAGAACTCCTTTGAGTCCTCGCGCTGTCGCTTGGGGCGCTTTGCTTCGAAGTTGCCCTGCACAGCATCTTGAAAGCAAAGTAATTCGCAGAGTTAGACTGAATTTTAGGCTAAGTTAGCGTCCTTTTATATCGTTCGATTGTTGTCCTTCTTGCTCTCGATAATATGGATGTTCTTGTCTGCACAAACCACCCGGCACCTCCACACACTTAATAGTGATGTATGTAGGCAGTTCAGCAGTACTCTGCCATGGGGCTCCGCCGAACCATGTCACCTGCAGACTTGTCTGGTGTCCTTTGACTCAGGAAGTTTTACAACCACTGTCAGGTGAGGTTGCACAATTTTGCAGAAACTACCAATGCTTCGTTGTGCTTGGTCATGCTTCGTGCAAGCCTGCAGAGGCATCTCCGCAGCAGGACGACTTTCTTTCGTCCATCGGTCCAAGCACAGCACCCGGAGCAGGTTAGCGCAACGGCGCTCCAAGCCACCCTGTCAAGATGGGGAGGAACAAGGACGCTACTAGGGGCTCCTGGCCTACTAGTAACAAGAAACTAAATTATACCAGCGTAGACCCCAAACAGAGCAATGTTCAAAAATGAGATCTCCGAACAATATGGCCAGCAGTATTTCCTAGAGGAAGAAAACTGTAGTCCACTATGTAGACGCACATACAAGATTCAAAGGGAACGCATTAAAATTATGTTTTTCATTGACTTTACAATGGGACGCCCTACAAGGGCTAAAACATGAAATTTATGGATCCAGGTTGTGACTCAGAGCATCCAGAGCCTACTGGGAGACAAGTGGGAGACAAGTCTGAAATCATGCGGCCAGAGCACTCAGACCATCCAGAGCTTACTGGGAGACAAGTGGGAGACAAATGGGAGACAAGCGTGAAATCATGCGGCCAGAGCACTGAGAGCATCCAGAGCTTACTGGGAGACAACTGGGAGACAAGTATAAACACATGCGGCTAGAACACTGAGAGCATCCAGAGCCTACTGGAAGACAAGTGGGAGACAAATGGGAGACAAGTATAAAATCATGCGGCCAGCGCACTCAGAGCATCCAGAGCTTACTGGGAAACAAATACAAGTATAAAATCATGCGGCCAGAGCACTCAGAACATCCAGAGCTTACTGGGAGACAAGTGGGAGACAAGTGTGAAATCAT